GCCTAGCACTAGCGGATGCAGTGCTCCCCACGGGGCCTGGGGAGTCCGGGCCTAGCACTAGCGGATGCAGTGCTCCCCATGGGCCTGGGGAGTCCGGGGCCTAGCACGAGGGGGTGCAGTGCTCCCCATGGGGCCTGGGGAGTCCGGGCCTAGCACTGTCACCTTCATGATTTTGATGAACTTCAAGAGCAGCCGCTCCCTGTCCTGTGCCTTTTCCTGCAGCATGATGATGGAGCGGACCCTGTAGGAGCAAGGACAGAGCCGCAAGGGCCTGTGGGCTGCTGGGCCGAGCAGGGGGGACAGCGAGGCCACATGCTGGGAGCCCGGCCGACAGCCCGGCCTCTGTTCAGGGCCCAGGTCCCACAGCATAGGCAAGCAGCCTGGGCTTCCGTAGCAGGTAAGGGCCGACCAGGAGCACCCCCCCAACCAGGTGGAGGCCAGCTGACAGCTGATCAGGGCCCACTGTGCAGCCAGCCGCTGGGCCTCCTGAAACCTTGCAGCCACCAGTGCAGCACGACAGCAGAAAGCAGGCGCTGCCTTGCTGGTGCCCAGGACCCTCAGGTGTCCTCAGGCCTCTGTGGCTTGTAGGGAGGCCCCCATGCTGCACCAGCCTTTCATCCCGACAGGGCCTCTGGGTACTCAGTAGAAGACCACATGCACCAGAGGCCAAGCCCAGGCCTGGGCAGCTTCCACGAGCCCCAAAACCATAGCACCCCAAACAGTACCAGGTATAAGTACTGAGCATGCTTGCCAGAGTGGCTGCTGAGGCAGAGCTGTGGCCCGAGACCCTCTCTGCCCCCGTAAGCAGACCTCAGAACACCACAGGCCTCTGGCCATGGGGCTGCACTGGCCAGGTCTGCTGCAGCGGGGATGTGGCTAGCTGGCTCTGGCCTCAAAGCCACAGGCCCAGGCTGCGAACACCCTGCAGGCCAAGTGAAGGCAGAAGGAAAGTATTAACAGAACTCGCTCTGCTCTCAGCTGGACTTCTCTGTTGGTACCAGAGTGAGCCCCACTGTGCCCGAGGCTGCTGACAGCTGCCTGGCAGGCAGAGACCAGCAGTGGCCAGTGCAGGGCCTCTGGGCAGGCACTAGGAATCTGTCCTGGGGGTGGTACGAATCGTCCCTGCGGCTCTGGCGCCTCCCCCGCTAGTCCACTGTGTGCCATGGGCAAGCTCTGCGGAGGCCGGAGCCCCCGGCGCTGCCGTCCGCTCACCAGTAGGACATGTTGTTGAAGTGCTCTGTGAACTGGGTCAGGTTGGGGCTCTTCTCCTCATTCTGCTCTTTTGCCCAGAGCAGAACCTCAGGAATCTACAGAGGGCGACAGAACAGACCCTGCAGCACTGCCCTCGTGAGCAGTGTGCTGCCTGGTGCTGCCGCTCTCCATACCTCTATCTTGTAGAAGAGCTCAGCATCCAGCAGCGTGAGCTGCTCGGCTATCTCGTGGCTGTGGAAGTCGTGCAGGGTCCCAGGCCTGGCAGACAGAGGCGGAGGAATGTGGTCAGGCACTGCTGCAGGCTCCAAGTGGGGAGCGGAAGGAGCAGCCCCTGGACCTCATACTGCGGCAGGAAGGCAGGGGCGGCCACCAGCTCATTGCTTGTTAGATCCCTGGGCCACAGGCTCTCTAAGATAAGTCTGTTTGCCTCTCTGGCCCCTGCAGGGCACTCTGCAGCCCCAAACTCTAAGTCTCCTCTGGGTGGCTCATGACAACAGAGGTGGCGTGGCCTGTGGAAGGTCAGCTGAGCAGCATCCACCACCCTCGAGTGGGACAGAGGGGCAGGTGGGAGACTGGGCTGTGTCTGGGTTCCTGGGAATGGGTAAGTGGCAGGGAGGTCGTGTCAGCCCCCTCAAGCCCATGCAGCACAGGGCTGACCCCAGCCTGAGCATGCCCCCCACCTCCCGTCCTGTCGGGCCCTAGCCTCCCACCCCATGCAGAGACCCCGGGGTGAGGCCCAGCCACAGGGCACCCAGGGCTGTCCTGAGGCACCACAGGGGATGCGAGGCCGTGGCCCATAAGCAGTCTCCTCACCTGGCCGCGACGCCCCTGGCTGCCAGGGGCTGGTCGGAGTTGGCACACCTGAGCAGCTTCTTCTGGTCTACCTTGTCCAGGATGTTCTTCCGCAGCACGCGGGCCAGGCTGAGCTCCCCATTGCACACCAGGCGGAAGACCAGCTCCATCAGCAGCTTTAGGATGTCCTCTGTCAGCTCCACCAGGCTGAGGCCCAGGGCACAGGGTGAGGGGTGGGCACAGGGTCACCTAAGGGCCCCAGCCAGGACCCCCTTCCCCCCACAGCTGTGGGGTATGAGGGACCTGTGGCAGCTGCTCACATCTGCAGCAACTGTCTTGCTAATGTGTCCCTGTCATTTGCCCAGCACGCACAAGGCCACACTGGGACCGCACAGGCCCAGGCTACTAAGCACACAGTTGTGCTGTGTGGAGTCCCCGTTTCACCCAAGTGAGGAGACACTGAGGAGACTGCATGGCCCTTGGGCAGGCGCAGCCACTGTTTCCTGGTAGCAGGCTGGCACCCTGCATCTCGCACTCTGACGCTGCACACCTGGCACCAGCTGCCCAAGGCAGGTTTGTTCAGGGTAGAGAGAGCACAGGCCACGGAGGAGATGGCCACGGACAGGCATGGAAATACCAAGGGCTCAGGCATGGCTGCCACCTCTGCTCTGGCCAGCTGCCACCTGGGCCCTAGGCTAAGTGTGTGGCTGTAGGGGACCTGGCCCGGACGGGAGCACAACGTGGCCCTGGGTGGCCTGAACACCTCTCACCCTGCTCTAGCGGGACAAGTCACTCCAGAGCCTCAAAGCAGACAGGAGCTGCGTTGCGGGGTGGAGGGGGTGGGGGCTCCCCTGCACCGCAACAGGAGCAGTGGGACCAATGCAGCCACATGATCCCTACAGGGAAGGCCGCCCTGCCCTGTGGCCAGTGCCACGCTGTAACCCTGGGCAGGCAACTTACCAGAGCTCGTCCACTACCCGCACCAGTACGAAGAATGTGTTCTTGCTCACGCGCTTCTTGAATGTGTCAGCGAAGGGCGAGAACTTCTCGTATGTGGAGCGTGGGTTAAGGAAGGGATACACATGGTGGGGTGACACTCGAGGGAATGCTGAGCTGCACGTGCTTAGTGCCTGGCAGGGCCCGGAGCCTAATGTGTGCAGCATCAGGTCCCAAGGCAAAGGGGCAGCGCTGCCAAGCCAAGCTCTGCCCAGACCACTGGCCCCGAGGGCTTTTCCTGAGGGCTACCATCACCTCTCTGCTAAGTCCAGGCTTCCTGCCTTCCGAGATGCAAGGAGGCTGTGGTGGTCCCCAGGTCCCAGGTGGGAGGGCTCCTTCCACCTTTCCTGAGTGTCCATCCTGGGACTGTCCTCAGGGCACCCTCAGGGAGGGTGTGCCCGGTATAGCGGGGCACTCACTGGCACCGCGCCCCCCTCAAGGCCACTGCGCTCCTGTGAGCAGGGGTGGGAAGGGCTGAGACCCTGGGTGTGGGCCGAGCCTCGTTTCCTGGCTTATGTGACAGGAAGCCAACCACAGCCCACACATGGTACGGCAATGACGTACGAACAGCCTTGGAGCTGAGCCAGAGCACACATACAGGAGCATCACACTTGGTAAGTATGGGGTCCAGCCCCGGCAGCATGTGCGGCGGGACGTGAGGCTGGTGGGGACCCTGACTCCTGGTGAGAAGCGTCCACATCTGTCCTGTAGACCCAGGGTTCTCAGGGCACCCAGAAGGCAGGCACGGGGTGGTGCTCAGGACACCTTGCCTGAGGGACAGTGACTGCCCAGCAAGGCTGGGACTGGCCTGGAATAGGCAGCGCCCACCACTTTCTGGAGCAGGGGAAGGGGCTGGCCAGGAGCCCAGCAGGCTTGGGTTTGAGAAAGGCAGCTGGTGTGCAAGTGCTTCCATCCCCGCCTCCAGGGGTCCTCGCTGCCACCTCTGCAGCGCATCACACATCCCCAGGTTCGGGCTGTGGGGCAGAGCTGGCAGGGAGGCAGGCCGATGGCACCAGATGAGGCACAGCGGCCCACTGCCTGATCGGCACGAACGGGAGGGGCCGCGCGCGCGGGCGCTCGCTTCCGGTCAGCGGGCGGGCGGGCGGATATCGGTACTGCAGCTTTCTGATGAGCTCCTCGGGGCTGACAAAGGTCCGGTAGGTGGTCAGGAAGGCCTCGCAGTACAGCACCAGGTCTGGGGGCAGCAAGGCAGGGCAGAGTGGGCCGGTATCAGATCCTAAGCTTGTCAGTGGGAGCCGGGGGCTAACCTAGGGGACTATTTGGATGGCAGGGCTTGCCACTGCACGATGGGACCCCAGGGCTGCGCCAAGTGCCACGGAGACTGGGCTGTAAGCAGCTACCCCTTCCCTTTGGAGCGGTCAGCCCCAGACACAGACCCTCTGCCTGCTGTGTGACCCATCTCCCAACCTTCTCTTTGACGTAAAATCAGGACAGCTTATTTTTGAACGTGTAGTTCTTCCTCGCCGCCCAGAGAGCGAGCGATGCAGGCGTGCCATGTGCCTGGCTAATAGGCCTGCCTTCTTGGCCTTCCGGAACAGGCCTTGGAAGCAAGATGGGAGAACAAGTCGCCTGTTCCTCCTGCCCTCCCAAAGGTCAAGGCAGGAAGGCTGGTGAGGTCGGTAGGCCTCGGCCTGTGAAAGTCATGTGCTGGCCGTGATGAGGCTTGGGGACAGGACACACAGCTTCCCAGAGCCTCCTGAGCCGCATGTCAATTGGACCCAGTGTGCTCAAGGACCAGGAAGGTGTAGATGCTGCCCGGAGTACCTAGGTTACCCTGTTCAGCACGTTGTTCCCCAAGGCGCTGGCCATGGAGCATGCACTAGGTGCCAGCGACTGACTTCACCCTGTGGACCACCCTAAAGGCTTTGGGGAGAAGGCTCTGGACACCATGCTGTCCTGAGGGACTCCATGCCCAGAGAGCTGGCTGTAGGTGGGCTCTACCTCTTCCACCCCAGCAAAACCAGACCAGAAGTTCAGATCTGCCAGGGGATACTGGAGCGGTGAGGAACACCAGGGCCCATGGGACTGACTCCCCGTACACCGCGGACACAGACAAACCTTTCCTGTCCGTCTCAGTAGCATGAACCAGCAAGATGTCCCCTGATCCTCCGCGCACATCTGGCCCGTCGTCACCCTGGAGTATGAACAGCCAAGGAGGGTGTGAGCTGGGCCGAGATGACAGCCACTAGTGCAGGGACAGCAAGTCCCCCGTTCTCTGCTCAGCAGTGCTGGGCTGTGCTGTCTCTGTGGCCCATCCACGGCTCCATGCTTGGCAGATACCGTGGGCCTGGGCACATTCCTCAAGGACATCTTGGGGATATGACAGGTCAGAAGTACCCAGAGTCTCCCTACACTTCTGCCTGTTCACAGTCCCTGGTCCCCAGAAGCCTGGGGGAGGTGAGGTCCCTTTTAGCGACACAGATCACGGTCCTCTGTGTGGCCCCCATCATGGGAGTGCAAAACAGCAGATGCTTCATCTGCTACTGCTCAGGTGGGCAGCAAGGGACCTCGTCTCCCCTCCACACGGTAACAGGCATTAGCCACCTGGCCTAGAGCCACACAGTGGGAAGGCCCAGGATGGCGGCAGGCCAACACTATGGCCCAGTGCCCTGTTACTCTGAGGGGGACAGAGCTGACATCCTGCTATGCGCTGCCTCTCGGGCTCCTGAGAGGATGGGGCGGCTGTGCCTGCGAGCTGATTTCCCTGAGGAGGGGCCCAGCTGCCCAGGTTCCCACCCTGCCAGCCCTGCTGGCCCAGGGCTAGGTCAAGGGCGGCCTCTGCCTTCTTGCCATCAGATGACTGCCATGAAGGGGCCCGGGCTTCCTGGGAAGCGGCTCCTTGAGCCTCAAGGATGAGGCGGGCTCCTGTAGCCCTGCTTCTGCTCTGGAGAAGGAACAAGGTGCTATTCCCACAGGATGCAGAACCTGGAGGCCTGGGTCAGGCCTGTGTCTCCTGGGTAGAGGCTGCCGCGAGGCTCCATCAGCAGCACGCAAGTGGCACTTGCTCTGACAGCATCTGCAGGACCTGGGTGCAGCCATGGGACTTTGGGACCCTGCCACGTGCGGTCAGCACATTTCCTCCTGGAAGCCAAGCCTGGCTCAGGTCATCAATGGAGACTCCAAGGTCACAAAGACCACCTTAGCCTTGACCCTCCTGACTCCCTGAAGCCAGGGAGCCCTCACCTCTTGCTTGAGTGTCAGCCTGGCCATAATTTCATTGTGGTCGATGAGGGACAGCTCATCCACTTCTTCCTCAGACTGAGCTGACTCCAGAGCATCTGGTGACTTTGGGATCCTGGAGGGAGAAGTAGGGGGTGTGGTGAGTGTCATTCAGGCCCCCGCGCCCCAGCCCAGAGGCTGTGGCCGTGCTGGCATGCGCAGGCGTACGAGGCATGAGCATGCCTCTTGATGGCGGTCCTGACGACACTGTGATGAGAGGCCAGGAGCTCAGGTGGCCCCCACACCACCGCCGCCGCTGACCATCCATGAGGCCTGGGCTGTTTCCTGCCTCCTCACTCTCCGTCTTATCCATAAATGGAAGACATGAGGCTGGGGGTTGGCAAGGTCCCATGGGGCTATTTATGGTGGCTGCAGCCATATCCCCTGCGAGGACACTCTATGCATGGTCAGTGTTTAAGGAGAGGGACAGCAGAAAGGCCAGCAGGACGGAGAAAGTTACCACCAACGCCATCTGCTAAGTCTTTCCAGGGCCTCTCTGTTGGGCCTTTAGTAGCAATATGAAAAAGCTGTGACCAAGTGGACAGCGGGGACAAACCCTCTGTGCTTCATAATGCTGTGCAGGACACAGCAGGCAGCTGGGCCCTGACCTGAGGGGGCGGTGAGCTGGGTGGTACAGGTGATGCCGGCGCAGGGCTGCAGGCGGGATGTTCCGCAGCTCTTCCGGTCACTACGCTGGCTGGGCACGGCCAGTGCTAACGCTGGCTGGGCCACAGAACAGGAAAGTGCTGGCACACTGAAAGGCAATGTGGGTCCTGGCTGATCTTACAAAAAATGCAGATCTGCAAGATGTTTCTGGGGGAACAGGGGCTCTAGAACATGATCTGCCTGTCACATGACACCAGGGATCCCCTAACTTCCTCAGTGCATCAAGGTGCTGTAAGCGGGCCTAGCTCTCCAAGTCAGGATCTCACTCTGCAGTCTGAGCCAGCCGCCAACTTGCTATGCAGCCCAGGCTGCCCTTGTGTTTGGATCTTCCGGCTCAGCCTCCAAAGTACTGAGGTTGCAGGCCTCTGCCAACACGCTCAGCTTCAGCTTTGGGGAGCCAAGTGTCACAACATCTGTGCCTGACATTTGGCCATATGATGTATGCACAAGTGTACAGAAACATTGGTGGTTTGTGGTGGGTGGCCAGGTGGGGTCTGTTACAGGCCCTGGGATGCCTTGGCTTCTGGATGCCCAGTGAGGCTGGCTGGGATCTGAAAACAGCAAGGCTGTTCTGGACTTCCAAGGTGCAAGGAATGCTGGGTGCAGCGTCCGCAGCTCTGTGGAGTGTGGCCATTCTCTTGTTTTCCAGTTTACTCTCAACTGTGCCGGTGACTTGGCTTTGTGCCTGCCTCGCAAGTACTCTACCTCTGAGCTCCTGGCCAGAGCTGAGCTCCATTTCCAGCCTAGTGTTTATTTTTACGTTTTAAAAGACAGTCTTGCCAGCCCAGGCTGGCCTGGAACTCGCAGCGACGCTCCCGCCTCAGCCTCCCAAGCACTGGGATTACAGGTGTGTGTCACACTCAGCTAGTTTTTATTTTTTATTTTGTACTTTAGGGAAGGGTCTACAGGGTGTTCAGGATCTCACTACTAGATTGCACTTGTAGTGATCTGCCTGTTTACAGCCTCCCAAGAGCTGGGATTACAGGTGCGCACCACCACGCCCAGTTTCTAGTTTTAATTTTTATCCTATTTAATTTTAATGTTTTTAAAAAAACTTGGGACAGGGTCTCATGAAGTTGCCTGGGCTGACTTTGAATGTGTGATCATTCTAAGCCATCTAAGTAGCTGGAATTTCTGGCATATGACACTGTACCCACTGACTTTTCTGTCTTGTGGCCATTACCAGCCTGAGCAAGTACAGTTTTGAGAGTCAGAAAAAGGAAGACCTTCAACACAAACACACAGGCCTCACCGCAGGGACACACAGCCCTCAAGGGACTGGTCACTCCCTTGTCACTTCCTACCTCTCGCCATCTCTGCTGTCCTTGCCAGGGGTGCCACCACCCGCCAACAGGTCCCTGGAGTGCCCATCTTTCCCGGCTGGCGACTCCTGTAAAGAGAAGGGAGTGTTGGCTTTTGGACAGATGGCCTGTGCCTGGGCTGATCTGTCTCCCCAGCGACCTGCCTGCAGATGGCTTGGAGGTGGGTCCCTACGGAGCAAAGCGAGGTGGGAGCAGGTTAGTGAGGAATGCATGGAATCATAGGTAGCACGAGGCCCCTCAAGAGCAGCACCCTGCCTTTGGAAGGAGAGCTTCTGCCAGCTGCTGCCTGGACGAAGCCTCCTGAACTACCGCCCAGAAGAAAGGGCTGTCCCCAGCCAATGCTGCAAGGCTCAGGCGTGGGCCTCTCCTCCCTGACCCGAGGAGCTGTGGCCCTGCTCAGGGGATACCAGGCCAGGGGCTACGGGCCTGCTCAAGGCCACACAGCCTGTGTGGCAGAACGTGGGTTTGAACCAGGGGCACCCTGGACCCCACTGTGTGCAGTAGAACTTTACCATGTCCTGGTGAGGGTCTGCAAGCTGTACCACCTGACCAGTGACACGCATAGATGCAAGCCTCCCCCTGAAGTCCCACTCAGTGACAACACGATCCTGTGATGTCCCCAGGGGAACCAGGGTGGCGTGGGTGCAAGGAGCATTGCTGGGGGGGGGCACTATGCAGTGAGAAAGTCAGTGCTCCCTGTGCCACTGTAGGGGGTGCGGTGGAAGGCCAAGCTGGACGACACAGGGGGTACAGGTCACCAGCAAGGACGGGGTCAACTTCCCTGCAGTGAAATTACTCAGGGCTGTGTGACCTGCTGTGACCCCTGGTGCCTGGTGGCAGCAGGGACCAACCCAAAGGAGTAGGTGTGCTCTCCAGGGCTGGGCCCGTGCAGCCAGTCACTGGGAAAGACTCTGGTCCTCGGGGACCTGGCTTCTTCCCCACAGGCTCCTTTTGCTCAGGTTCCCAGGGACAGTGACCTCTGTGCTTCTGAAGTTGTTCATGTTTTATAAAGCTGAGTGCTCAAAAGACCACTGTACCTCAACTGCCATGAGCTGGGCAGCAGCACAGGGAGGGTGATGGCGGGGGTTCCTCTCAGGAGCAAGGAGTGTGGGCTCTGCCAGGCTCCCCAGCTTGTTTGGGAGTGGCTAAGGGGGCATGCCAGGCAGGGGGAGGATGGAGAGGGAGCTCAGCCCTGCAGAAGGGGTGGGAAGAGACACCAGGTACACTGGACATGTGGCCCAGTCCTGGGGTTGCTGGAGGTGGCACGGCACAGCACCATACCTGTGGAAGCAGGAGGGGAGACCCAACCTGCAGGCCACAGCCTGGGAGCTCCATCTGCACAGCTGGGAGGGTCTCAGCTAAATAGAAGCAGGCATCAGGGAGCGGTCTTGGCTGGGGCCAGCTGTGCCAGGCCAGGCCACATGCAGCAGGTCACCGCCCGAGGTTACTTACTCCTCGAGAGCGAGGCAGCTCCGTGCTGCTCTGGCCAGAGGAATACAGACTGACGTATTCACCCTCACCAGCTTCCTCGCTGGCCTTCTCACTCTGGAGGAGACAGGACGAAAGGGAGGACAATGGGCCAGGCCTCTGGTCATCCCAGCTCCAAGGGCCATGTGCACCCAGACCAGGATGTGGACTCAGGAGAAAGAAAGGCCAGAGGCTGGAGTTTGCAGTCCCTTGTGCCTCCCTGGGGCTAGGGGCCAAAGCTACTCTGGCTATCTCTGGCCTCTGCTATCCTGCTAGGGGACCCAGGCTTAATCTTCCATGGTATTGAGGCCCATTCCGGAGCCTGTCCAGGAAAGGTGGCCCCGTGGTAATGGGGGGACCATGGGGCCCTTGGTAAGGTGGGAAGAATGGGTACAGGCAGCTCACCTGGCTGGGGAGTGCCCCTGCCTGTAGCACCCTCTGTCCTTCTTCCTGTCCCTGTGACCTGTTCTCCGGCACTGGGAGCAGCACACAGTGCCAGGGCCACCTCACAGGACGGCAAACCAGCCTGTCTCCAGGCCACCACCTCCATCTGTCACTGCCACGCACCGAAGGGCTCGCCCCTTCTCACAGCCACAGAGTAAGCTCGGGTGCATGCTGCCTCATCCTCACAACTCCCTCTCTGAGCAGTCACTTGTCCGCTTGTGAAAAAGCAGATTTCTAGTGTGGGAGGAGCTTTATATCAAATACTTCACTCTGCTCTGGAAGCAGACGGCTACCGTGGCACCCTGGATCGGACGCTGTTGACCCAGCACTGCTGCGACGCTGGCCCTGCCGTCATGGCCTCGATTGCCGGCCAAGGGGACGGGGTTGGCAGGGCCCTGCAGACGCGTGTGCCGGGTGCTCACCGAGTCAGTGAAAGAACTTTCGGAAGGAAGGCAGCCAGGGTTCCCATGGAAGCTGCTCTCCTGGGAAGGTGAGAGAGGCCCATCCACGGTGCGGGCAGGTGGGCTGGCCACGGTGGTGCCCGCCAAGTTGGAGCTTGGAGACGGGTGGACAGGTGGGAAATGTGGAGAGGAAGAGGAGGTAGGTGGAAGGACAGGCTGGACGGAAGCTTGGTGGTGAGATGCGAAGTCCTGCGAGTAGGACCTAAACACAGACTTGTACTACAGAGTCCAGGCGGAAACGAACACAGACAAGGATACAGGAAGGAGAAAACAGACAGACAAGAGAAAAAGCCGTTAGGTTAACAGCAGCTGCATGCTGAGGGGCTGCTCTAGCCAGGATGGATGGGCATGCCATGCAAACCCTGTCCCCGAGATCCCCGGAGCCAACACTGGCTCTCCAGAGAGGAAAGGCCTGGAGGCTGGCACTGGGCAGAGGGCCTGGGCACATGCTCTGATGCTGATGGGGTCCACATGCTGCTCGTGGCCATGACCCAGCCCCTGCCCCGTGCCCTCGGGACACGGAGAGCTACGTCCAACGTTGCAGGTACATTTACCCATCTCTTGGATGCATCTGGTTTATCCTCTAAGATAAAGAATGCAACTTGTAAAATAGTAGAATCCCTCTGGAGTCCTTTGGGAAAGAGTCTAATCTTCAAAAATGGTCAAAGAGCTAGTTATGCCACCAAGATGCCAAGGGTTGGCATGAGCTCATTTCCTTTTTAACCCAATTATTTTCTTCCTTTCTTCATTTGAGGTAACAGGGTCTCACTATGTGGCTTGGACTCATAGTGATCCTCCTGTTTCTAGCCTCCTCAGTGCTGGATTACAGGCATACGCTACCATGCCCAGTCCCAGTTAGCACTGAGGGCAATATGGGACAGGGGACTGAACCCTGGTCCCTGCACTTGCCAAAGTAGGCGCTTAAGTCTGCTGAGCTATGTCTTTTTGAGATGGGGTCTCACTACACAGTTCAGCTGGGCCTTGAATTCACTTTGTAGCCCAGGCTGGCCTCAAGCTCCCAGGGATTCTCCTGCCTCAGCCTCCTGAGTGCTGGGATCACAGGTGTTGCCACCGTGCCTGACCTCGGGTTTGTTTTTAAACAAACTCAATGATCTTACAACACTTCTGAAGTTACCCAGAGCTACCAGGAAAAACTTCCCCAATTGTCAAGGGACAGCAAGGTCTGTTACCTACCTAAAAGATGGAGCCTACAACAGCCCACAGCTTTTCAGCCCAATGAACACAGCCTAGCTGGTCTGTCTGGCTGCCCAGCCTCGACCCCAATCATGTCATCATAGTTTTCAAAGGCCTGCTGACACCCTGCCAGCTGCCCCGGGAATGGGAGAGCAGACACGGAAAGGACAAGGCCTCACGCGCTCATCCCTGTCTCTAGGGTCCTCTGTTTCTGTGGGGCAGTGAGAAGAGGAAGCAGCAACTGAGCTTCAAACTCAGGGGAGGCCAACGCTCAGCAGGCCTCAGAGCTCTGGAAAGCTGTGCTTTAGCCTTGGGCCCTGGTGACAGCCACCCGCTTGTCACCATGCACTCGGCCTTTCCCTGCTGGGGCCCTGACCCGTGTTCTTACCCCAAGGGCCCAGTGGCTACTGGTTTTTATCAGATACATGGCGCTAGGCCCAGGCTCCTATTTTTTTTTTTTTTTTTTTAACCAGGGATTGAACTCAGGACCCTGCGCTTGCTAAGCAAGTGCTTATTCTGAACTATCCCCCCCCCCAACTTTTTAAAAATACTCTTTTCCTGATCAACCTCACAAGCTCAAGGTCAAACCTAGCCCACCAGAAACCTTGCTCACTTACGCTGGTCCATCTGGAGAACTGGGGTGCAGAGTCCCGCCTGGGACCCAAGCGGTGCCGGTGCCCCATGCTCACCCAGACCCACTGCCAATGGTGTGGTGCTGGGTTACTTGCCAGGTGGCTGAGGGTGAAGGGCTGGGCTTTCCAGGATTCCACTTCACGCTTGGTGGATGTGTCCCAAGGTGAGGCTGTCTCCTGGGTACTGGGGGCTGCTTCAGGGAGCAGGGCAGCCCTGCTCGGGCAGCAGCTCCAGCCATGGGCAGACGCTCGACTCTGCTGTCAGCTGCTGCCTCCCCGCCTCTCCTTGGCACATGTCTGCCCACTTGCTGCCACCTAGCGTAGGGCTAGCCTTCAGCGTCACCGTGTTCACCAGCGCTTCCCAGCAGGCGGGCGGGCGGATGAGCAGTAAGCACTGACGCACACACGGAGAACCTCGGCCGTACAAAGTGATGGGGAGAAGCTGCCTGCCTGCCTGACGGGGCAAAGGGCCAGCACGCCGCAGCTGGGCCAGCCCGAGTGGACATCCCCATGAGCGGCCCTGTGGGGTGAGGCCCAGCTGGAAGTACTGGTGAACACAGTGACGGCTGGACAAGGGCCTGATCCTTTTCCCTGTGTGTCCCTGGGCACATGACCTCAGTTCTTGAGGAAAACAAGGGCACCTGATGTCTGGCCTCAGTGCAGCAGGCACTCTAAGTGCCTTGTCCACGACAGCTATCCCTCCTGCTGGCTGGGATACCTGACCTGTGTAGGGCCCTTTAATCACAGGGCAGAGGCATCTTGCAGGGGCCCGGCACATATCAGGGGGATGAACAGCACTCAGACACTGGCTGTTATTAATCAAAGTGCCTAGACCACTGCCTGACCTGCGGCTGCGCCTCAGCTGTGTGTTGGACTGCCTGCCCCAGCTCAAGTTCAGAGAAGGCTGGCGGAGGCCAGGAGAAAGGGAGGCGACTGCAGCCCAGCTGGCATCTGTGGGACCAAGGGGCCTAGTGCCCCACCCCTCTCTTGAATTCTGGTATCCCAGCTATGCAGTCCTGCTGGAAGCACAGCCAAGCCCAACAGAAGACACCTCCAGGGGCAGGGGCGGCCATGCAGGCTGCCCTCCTGCCACTGTGCTGCATGCCCAGGGGCTCCGCACTCCAGCAAGCGCTTGGAGATCAGGCTCTGCCCTGGCAAACGCGCCGGCTGGCTGCTCCTGGCCACACCACCCAGCCTGGCCTCTAATTTAGGGCCCGGCTGGTGCGGGCGTTGCTCTGGCTGAACCGCAGCACCTGTGCGCAGGAATTTGTATTTATAGCCACAGTGAGACTCTGGGCTGAGGACTCAGGAGCACGGAGGGCTCCTGTGTGACAGCCACCAACATGGGCAGGAGACTTGAGTAAAAGCTCAGCAGTTACAAGCAGGGCAACCAGCCCCATTCACACACAGCCAGGACCATGGTGGCCACTGTCACGGGGTGCTCCTGCGGGGCAGATGGGTCCCAGGCACTCTGCTGTGCCTCCCTACAGTAGGGGTCTATCCTGTACCCACTCCGCTGGTGGCCTGGGGAGACTGAGGTGTGCTCCAGGCCCACCTCGGCCCTTACCTGAGCCCACAGCCCTGGAGCACCCCCCCTTTCTTTTGTGGAACCGGGGCTAAGCCCACAGCCCTGGAGCACCCCCCCTTTCTTTTGTGGAACCGGGGCTAAGCCCACAGCCCTAGAGCACCCACCCCCCCGCCTTTCTTTTGTGGAACCGGGGATTGAACTCAGGCCCTTGCGTTTGCCAGGGAAGTGTTTATTTTGCTGAGCCATCTCCCTGGCCTCACAACCAGCTCTTTTGACAAGATCTGATTTCAGAGTTTATAAAAACATTTTGGTGCACTATTGCCTGCCTGTAATCCTGGCACTTGGGAGGTTAAAGCAGGAGGATCCCCAAATTTGAGGCAAGCCTGGGCTCCACAGTGACCTGCATGGAGGCATGGGGTGGCAGGGGCCGGCAGAGGTTGGTGGGTACCCTTGTGGGCTAGCCCGTGGGCCACTTGTTGAAGGCAAAGCCTCTGGAGGCGGCCAGGGGCCTGTTCTCAGCAACACTGTGTCTACCTTAGGTCCTGACGGGGATATAGGACTGGATGGGCCCTGTGCTGCCTCGGCGGGAGGCAGATCTCCCAAGCAGAGCGGAGTCCTCGAGTCATGTCTCTGCACTGCTCTGGCAGCAGGAAGCCCCAGGTGCCAGGCACAGGTTGGGGTGACCGCCAGGCTTGGGAAAGGCCCTGTGCGCAGGTGGACCCGCTGAGCAGGGGAGGCTGAGATCACCCCTCATCTGTGAAGAGCCCTGAGAAGCGGCTCTGCAGCATGGTGCAGCTCCCTCCTTGCAGCGCATCCCATCCCGCACCACCCAGCGCCGGCCAGGCTCAGGCCTAGCCAATCTGCCTTCAAAGGAAACAAGCTGTTAAGCAGTTGAGCACTCTACATGGCCACCTGGCAATGGGACAGTCCCCTCTAGGACACCGGGAGGGCACTGACCAGGCCCCTCCTCACTCAGGTCTCCTCCTCCCCGGCCCGGGTCTGGGAGTCTGGTGGCAAGCCTGCCTTTGCATGAGCTCAGGCTCTCCTTTGCTGTTGCTCTGTTAACTAGTAACTATGTACGGACAAAAGCTAGGGTCCCAAAGCTGAGTGCCAGGTTCGGGCCTGAGACCTGCCACGGGCCGGCTGTCGCTCCAGAATGGGAGAAGTGTGTATGTGGGTCACTGTGAGAAGGGCCAGAGCACTGGCTGTACTGAGAAGGCGATGACACGAGCCACGTCAGGCCCTAGTAGCCCTTCCTGGTTTAGACAAACTCTCTAGTGCAGTTCTTTAATCATTCGAAAATTCTAAAATCAAGGATGTAAAAGAACATGTTTTGCCTTGGAGAGTTCTGGGCAGTGGAGGAGAGCATAAAGGTAGAGGGCATCTCTTCTCCCAAGAGGGTCACTGTGACCCAGGTCACAGAGCCTCCGGGGAGGCTCGAGTCTGTCCCCTGGCTCTGGCATAGCACCAGCTCTCTGTGGAGAGACTGTTTACGGGTCAGAAGGCAAGCAAATGGGCTGGTGAGATAGCTCAGTGGACAAAGTGCCTGCTTAGGCAAGTGCAGGGACCCTGGCACCACATGCTGTGCCAGCCTCGCCCCCAGGGTGGGCTGAGGGCCACAGTCCCAGTGCTGGAGAGGCTGAAAACAGGAAGATCACTATGAGTCCAAGCTGCATAGTGAGACTCTGTAATAAACAAATACATTGAAGAAAAAAAAATAACAACAAGCAAGCAAGCAAACAGTCCTGGCAACCTAGTGCAGCTATTTCTATGCCCTTGGATTTCAGCGGTGTGGTAGGGGGACGCTCAGGCCCAGAGCTGTAGGGAAGTCTGTGCATGAAGACCAGGGGTGAGCACTGGGACGAGAGGCAGACTCCCGTGTGTGTGGAGGGGGGCACTCCTTCCGAGGGGCAGGTCACCTGCTCCCTGACCAGGCTGTGGCCCTGAGCATTGAGGGTGGGGTCAAAGCATACTGGAAGCATGAGCAAGGAGTTCTCAGACCTGTAGCTGCAGATGGCAGCGGAAAGTTCGGAGCAAAGAGGAGGCCTCTGGGAGCCCCTGGAGCTGAGGCAGCCAGTCCCCACCCCCAGCTCTCAGCTGTCCCCAGTATGCAGACGTGTGGTGCACGGTGGCAGCCTGGGTCTCAGGAAGGGCAGCACAGGGAGGACGCACCATGCCTGTGGGAGCAGCGGTGAGTTTCAGGCTGACACAGATGGCAAGTAACCCTGCAGCCAGGGCCTCTCAGGTCTGCAGAGAAGGAAGGAGGAAGACCGCAGCCAGGCTGCCTCAGGGGGCGGGAGGCTGTCGGGGAGCAGCAGTGTCAGGCCAGACACTAGAAGTGCTGGAAAGAACACTGTGGGCTGGGGAAAGTCTCCCATTCTCCCTGTCACTGCTCACTGCTCTGCAGACATCAACATTCTCCAGCTGGGCTGGCCAGACAGCTCAGGGGATTAAAGCTCCTGCTCAGGCAGACGCAGGGCCGGGGGGGGGGGGGGGGTTCGATCCCACGCCTGTCGTACTGGCCCCACCCCCAGGGCGCGCTGAGACAGCCATTGAGACGGGGCACGGTGGCGCGAGCCTGTAATCCCAGCGCTTGGGAGGCTGAAAATCAGGAAAGATCACTACGAGTCCAATCTGTGTAGTGAGACCCTGTAATTAATATATATATATATATTCTCCAGCTGGCTCAGCCATGTGGCAGCACCATGCAGCCCATCCCCAGCCAGCACTGAGGCACAGCTGTCTAAGGCTCAGACCCTGTCTGAGGACTGCACTCCCGAGAAGCAGTAGGAGAATGAGGAGAAAACCCCTGGCATCCGCCACCCATCCCCCGGGCAGACGAGGGAGCTGGACGGCATGCTCGGGTTCACATTGCAGCGGGGGACAAAATGTGAAGGTGGGGCTCCAGGAAGGTCGAGGATAGAGAAGAGAGCAGGTGTGTGTGAGAGGACTCTCTGCAAGGAGGTTGGGGACATGGTCACGGGCTTGCAGCGAGTGGGGCTCACAGGACGACGCCAGCGTGGGCCCTGGCTCTGCAGGTACAGTGCTTGCCTGGCTGTGGAGCTGAGTGGGAGCACACTGGCGGCCTCGGTGGGCGTGGGCAGCGTGGCGGGACCCGAGGGCTGTGTGTCATGAGCACGGCTCACACATGCCAAGCTGCTGTGACACCATGACACTTCCATCTCCTGCCTGGCAGCAGAATACTCAGAGCCACACAAGTGTGAATGCACTTTCCTGTCCTGTGCTGGGCCCTGGGGACCCAATTCTTGATCTTGGGGAGCCCGAGTTTGGCATGGAGAGGAGTCTATGGACTAATAATGGCCAGAGACCCCGAAATCAGAGCCGGCCCTGTAGGCTTGCTGGGCTTGGAACCCCGGGGTGGGGGTTTAAGGAGCCAGTGTCCCACCCCGGAGCCCCCACTAGCACGCGTGCTCCATCAGACTGGGGGAGCCACGTGCGGGACAGCGGGTGCAGACACCCAACTTCCCTCTGAGGAGCCCGTGCAGACCATTCCACATGGCCATGGAAACCCAGAAAGCAGGCAGGCCAGACGCCATGCTCCGGAGCAAGACGGCTCCGAGAAGCACCGAGGAAAAACCTAAGCATATGAAGTTCCAGGGCTGGGGACAGCTCAGCAGCACACCTTCTGCCTGGCAAGCGCAAGGTCCTGAGTTCAATTCCTGGTACCAAAAAACCACAAAAACAAAAATGAAGCTGTATCACGTATGGGCACAAATGCTCTAAGATGAATGTGATTGCTATTGTACTTAAAATATACCAATAAAATCTAATTAAAAATAACACATACTGGTCCCTGGGCACTTTGGTCACACTGGGCCTGCCTGCTGTTTGCTTACGCAGGATCACTCGGAAGCCAAGACAGAGAAGAGGTGTGGACAGTGGCTTCCAGCACTCCGCCTCTCTAGGTGAGCTCAGCCATTGCTGTCTACTAGCAGAAAGGCAGCCCGAAGAAGACAGTTGCAGTGGAGGAAGGCACAGGAGCCCGCAGTGCTGTGATGGGACATCCAGGATAGGAAGTGACTTGCAGGGTACACGGCACACTGAGGTCAGCCAAGGAATCGAGACAGGCCAGCCTCCCAGGCTCCTCTTCTCACTACCTCCTGCCTCCCAGATTGCACATTCTCTGTCAAGCTGCTTTTAACGGGTGTTTGTCGGCTTTCCAGAAGACTGGGAGCTAAGACCCCACTGAGTGGGCGCTTCCACTGGGCAGAGGGGAGGGCAGGGACTGCCCGGTGCTCCTACCCAGTGTGTGGGCTCAAGGGACGGTGGGGCCCACAAAGTCAGCGACCGAGTCCAGGTATGGTGGTACATGCCTGTAATCCCAGTGCTCATGAGGCTGAAAGCCAAGATGACCACTATGAGTCTGAGCTATATAGTGAGACCCTGTACCATATACATTAAAAAAAAAAAAAAAAAAAAAATCACTGCTAAGAACCTGAGAGGTGTCTTCAGATTGGACCCAGTTGCATTCCTGGGGTGCCCCTCAGAGCTCCATGCTGGGCTGGACATGGGACGGGGAACCAGAACAAGGAGACTCAGGAGTCCAGAGGTGCTAACACTAGCAATTCAAAACCATGTCTGGGCTCAGAGAAGAATCTAACCAGAGGAAATGCCAGGGCCCCAGCAAGCCGCGTCTCTAGGGACTCAGAACCTCAGAGGACAGGGGCTCCAAAGGCTTACGGCACCGGCAGAGCTTCCTCAGCCGCTCAGCCCCTCAGCACCTCCCTCGCGCCGGTGCTGAGCACGCAATGCCGTGCACAAAAGGTGCTGGGATATTCTGTGGTTCAGGGATGGAAACCCCAACACAGCTTTCTCCAATCAAACCTAAATGCCCTTGGTTTTTCTGTAATTCTGTGGTATATGGTGCAGTCTGTTTGTACCCCTCTAAGGGTCACATGCTCAAAGGGGATGCACAGAAATTCAGGATGCCCATGCTCCTGCTCACAGCTGGAGCAAGAAGCAGTCAAGAGCAAGGGCCACCTAAAAGCTATGTGCGTGATGCGTGGAGCGTGATGGCTGGCGTGCACAGGCAGCATTCAGCATTTCCAGCAAGCCGGGCTGTCCGGGGCCCAGAGAGACCTGAGCACACGTGGAGGACACACTCCACGGTCCTCACTCTAGCCAGGGCTGTCCTGGCCCTGGGCGTGGACTGAAATCCTGGTAAAAGGGTCTGAGAGAAAACCAAGCCAGCTGGGGTCCTTGGACAGCTCTATCAGGTCGCCCCATCCACCTGCTCTCCATATCCGGTGGGGGATGGCGGTGCAGGCAGATGAAGTCATTCACTCCACTGGGACCAGAACATGGGCCAGAACCAAGTCCCTTTCCTCTTGTAAGCTCACTATGTGCATGGGTGCCTGGGGGGAATTGTCAAACCCTTCCCATCACAATCCAGAGACAGATATGGAGGCTGGGAAGGAAGAGCAAGCCACTGTGGCCAGAGTGATAGCAAGGGGGCAGAGCTGGCTCTGCCTCTGCTCTGCTGCTCAGGGCTGCATGGAACAGACAGTCAGGAGGACAGCGGTCACCTGGCTCTGGCCCGACGCAGCCTGCAGTGAGAACGGTGGCTCTGTCCTCATACACGGACAGTGACTGGAACCCACTTGTGCAGGCCTGTGCTCTGCACTGTGGCTACAGCACCTCCTGCTGTGGGGCAGGTGGGGCCTCACCTAGGGACACTGTGTCATCTAGGAGCTTAGGCCGCAGGGCACCTGGCACCCATCTCTGTGTTCCTTGGAATCCTGCCAGTTGCCAGAGAACAAGCCCAGGCCAGTCTGATGGAGGTGACAGACAAACCAACTGTCCCGGTGAAGTCCTAGAGGTGGCAGCAGATACAGCCCAGATCAGCCAGGCCTGGGCCAGATTAGCACGATGTTCCCCTGGCCTGTGCCCTAGGCAAGAACAAGCAAGTGGTTTCTGCTATTCTAAGACACCAAGCTTGGGGCATCGGACTAATAACTGAGAATATGGTCCTCAGCCTCAAGCTGTCCGGGGCCTGGCTTCTTGCGTAGGACATCACAAGGCTGATCCCAGGCCAAGGAGGGCTGAAACAGCCCTGTGCTGGACACCAACCTGACTGCTTCTCTCTCTGTACTCCTCCTGGTTCCCCAAGAGCTCCCACAAGCCCTCCCTGGTGCTTCCCGCTCACCCCGTGCAGTCTGCAGGGGCAGGGCCAGCTACATCTGGAGGGAACAGCAGGGAGCGACTCACCGAGGGCACGGGCAAGCTGCCGTGCCGGCTGAGAAAGGAGTTAGACATGGACACACTGAGGCCCTGAGTGGCACTGCCGTCATCGGGGGTGAAGGCCACTTTAGTTTGCTGGACACAGTGGGAGACAGAGGAGAAGGAAGAAGCAGCATAGGAGGCCTGCTGGGCAGAAGGGCGAGAGAGAAGGCAGGGAGGAGAAAGCAGAGAGTGGTCAGCGCGGAAAGCCCAGCCAGGGGCTGCTCCCTGGTCCTGAGGACTCGCTGTACACACCAGAGGTCAGGGACATCTGCCAAAGGTGGCCTGGCAACAGAGGACCCTGCTTCACTTCCTCAAGATGGAGTCAGAAGGTGAGCACTGGCCAGAGGACAATCGGACTGGAGCCGCACAGACCTGCAGAGATGCCGGGCTCTACGCCCCTCTATGGGGATCGAGCCCCTGACCACCTGCTGGCTAGGGCTTGCCAGGGGCGGCTCCTGGGTGGGGCGGCCAGCAAGCACGATGACGGCAGGCAGCTCCGTCTGCACCACGGATCCGACTCCTCTGGTGTGTGCATGCCCCGTCATGGATCAAGGTGGGATGCTTGGCCTATGAGCAAGGGTTGGGCACTGGGCACAGTGTGGGCCTTAGGGTGAGTCTCTCTGCCTCAGTTTACTGACAGTGGGATGCCAGGCTTGTGGGAGCTACATGGAGGCGGCTGTGCCAGCCTGGCGACTTCAGGAGCTGCCAGCCACACCCTGTCCTGCCAGTGTGGCAGTTCCCTCAGAACAGCCACCGAGCACATGCCTCATGTGCTGTCTGGGGACACCCATGAGTGCACTAGCAGCTCCAGTGCCATCTGGCTCGGCACAAGTAGGCTCTGACCAAATGCTTTGGGTTGGGGAGGTCTCAGGCCAAGCCTATGTCTCTGCGTAAGATCCTTTGGGAGTAGTCTCAGAGGAGCCTGGATTCACATGTTGTGCCCTGTACCGGGCAGGTGAAGAGCTGAGACTTGGAGCAGCCTGGGACCCGGCTTATGAGAGACAGGGTTGACCCCAAGGCCTCCGATTCAAGGGAGACCAGGCTCGGGTCGGCCAGAGTCCATGGAAGGATGGCTTGGCTCAGGACTCCCTGACCAGGTTGAGCCTTGGTTGGTTACATAGAACAACCAGAGCTATTTGTCCTAGAGTTTGCAGCTGCCTTCCAGAGAGGACAGGCAGCATCTTCATGCCCTTGCAATGGACTAAAAAAATGGCCTTGTTCAGAGCAGCAGGTCCTTCTCTGGTCTGAAAGCCACCAGATGAGGTGGAATAAGCACTACCCTTCCTGGGCAGCACAGCTGGACCAGAGGCTCAGATCCAGGTCCAGCAACTGGTAGCAAAAAGCAAAGGGCTGGAGGAGCCAACAGACTGTCCCCAAAGCCCCCAACTGCCTGCCTGTCCCCACCTTGCTCCCCAGCAGGACCCTGACACAGGTGTTTCAGAGGATGGGGCCACAGCACTGAGCAGCTCTGTTCTCTAGGGGCTGTCTCTGGCCAGGGGTGGGGTGGAAGCCACTTCAGTCAGGCAGTTATGGAAATGGAGTCCACAGACGGCTGCGCGCAGACAGGCCCTGTGCTCTGACTGAGCCTCTCCTTTCTAGGAGGTCTATGTTGGAGTCAAGAAAGAAAGGAAAATACAGGAGATCATCAGCACAGAAAGCAGACATTCACAGCACAGCCTGTTGCGGCTGCGTGGCGCCTCTCAGGAAGGGGCAGGCTCTGCCAGGGTGGGTGCAGAGGTCTGGTAGGACTGGGAGCGCCAGGCACCCTGCAGCACCGGGCAGCAGGGTGGGGTGGGGCTGCTTACCAGCTGCCGCTGCTTGGGGGGCAGGGCGGGTGGCGGAGCCAGCTCCTGTGTGGAGTCCCCACCACTGAAGGAATCGTTGAAGCCATACACCTCCATGAGCATCTTATTTTTCTGCTGGTAGATGTGCTCACTCTGCGGCGTCTGGTAGAACACGGAGGGCTGAGGTTCCGAGTAATCCTCCAGCAGCTGCATATAGGCTAGCACTGCAGGCACAGGGGCGCTGGAGTCGGCAGGGTGGAGGGGGCAGGCAATACACAGGGACTCTTGGGGCAGGGTACCATGCGGGTGACACTGAGGGTGTCAAGGGTCATTGTGCAGAAGTCCTGAACTCAGAGCATGCCCCAGGCAGGGCAGGGGGGTGGTGGGTGGGGTGTTCGGTGGGACCTCAGAAAACAGGCTCAACAGGGTCCCCTGCCTTGCTCCACCAGGAGGTGCTGCATCCCTGGGGCCTCAGGAGCCAGGGCAGGGAGCCTAGAGCGAGTCTGCCGTGCAGCCGTGGTGCAGGGAAATGCTAGCCGCTGGACCCAGGGTCCCATCTAGCTGTCCTTATGGGAAGTCCAGCCTGTCGTCCTGCGTCCTAATGTTAAGCTCTGCCTCTTGCATAGCTGCCTGCCTCATGTGGCCCCAGCAGGCCAGGCTCCAGTCCACGCAGGATGACAGCTACCAGCCAGGGGCCTCCCCGCCTGGAGACGTGAGAAGTCGGAGAGCAGCTTAGCTCCATGGGCACTGCTCCACAACGCTGGTGTGGCTCTCTATTCCTGATGTCAAGATTCGAGATCTGAGCTCTGCTGCTGTCAGACCCAGGGGGTATGGGCGACCCTGTGTACAACTACCTGGTGTCCTTACAGAGCAGGGAGGGTGGCCTGGAGCCAAAGCCTTTCCTTCCATCCCTGTGTTCACAGAAGGACTGCCTGTGGCAGAGCACCCACACACTGGCATCCTGACACTCTGCACATGTCCCCTGGCATCTACAGCAGGGACAGTCCCCATCTACATATAGGGTCAATGCTAGGGGAAAGAGGCTATTGGCCTCTGGACACTTGTTTAGGAGCCTGTACCAATGGACTGACTCACAGAGGAGCTAAGGTGACAACTGAAGCTGGGACACAAATGTCCCCCGGGGTGGGAAACAAAGACGTAGGTCAGCACGGAGAGGGCAGGGCTGGCTCAGCCACCACTGAGCTGGTGTTCCCTCAGTGGCCATGTCACAGTGCCACAAGCACACGGCAGGTGGAGCTGGAATTAAGATGCCAAGAAAGCAGCACAGCAGACCATTGTGGGAAAACTCTTCTGACCCCCAGAGTCGGGGCTTCCCGGACAACAGAAATCAGGCAATCTAGAAGGGCAGAGCCAGGGGCTGAGGGAGATGGCACAGGGGCAGGACATTTCTTCTGGGCCCCTCAAACACTGGCTGGGGCAGAAGGTGGGGCCCAGAAGGAACCATTCAACTCCTACCGCGTTCCTTGAGTCCGCTACCAGTACCCGGTTCACTGGTGTGTGACAGACAGGTGGGACATCATCAGCCCTGGGGGGAGCCAGCTCTCCCTCCAGCTGGGGACCATCCAACTGAGGCCACTGCACCAGATGGGCCACACCCACGAGGAGCCAGGGACATGGTGCCACCTTGGCAGCTATCACCCTCCATGGCCCTCTGGCCTTGAGGCCATCCTGTGGGTCCGACAAGCTGGGGCCGCCCTCCCTGGTGACCTCTGGTCTACCTAGTTTGCAGCTGCGCTCTTCTGGGGCCTGGGCTGTGGGCCATTGTGACTACACACACCAGGGAAAATCAGAGGTGCCAGGGCTGCAGAAAGGCAAAGACACAGGATGCAAGATGCCTGCAGGGCAGCAGGGTGGGGCGGAGCCAGGAGGAACCGGAATCCCCCAAAACCTCGCTTAGTGATCCTGTTGCAAATTCACATCCAAAAAATACCCAACTGTACATACTCAGGCTTCCAATCCACCCTGGGCCTGGACATACATCACCTAGCGAAACATGCCAGACGCCGGGCATTCTGAGCATGCCGCCCATCTCTGGCCCTGTGCTGCCTGAGGGGGGACAGCATACACCTGGCATGGACCCAGCATGTCTCTACACAGGGACTCTTGGAGAACTACGCTACTTAGTGGAAAGTCAGTAAGCCAGGCCAGTTCTGCTTATATCCACCTCCCTCTGCACAAATGTTGTACAACACTGTCCTGTGTGCTGTGACATTCTTCCCTTTTGTCACTGTGTATTCAGGGCCAACTGACTGCCATCTAAAGAGGAGAAGCACTTGGGCTCTGGGGGCCAGGCCTGGGGTTTTACAGAGACCTAAGAAGAGGCCAGCTTATCGGGCTTTAGGGAATGACCACCAGGAGTGACAGCCACCTGGGATGGTGGCACTGGGCTCCCCGCAGGGCCACGTGGGCAGCATCCAGTGTCCTATGAAGCACTGTCTGCTTGGGTTACAAGCTAACTGCACACAGCACCGCCACGCTCAGTGGGCAAGTGTCTCCCTGCCCAGGGCTCGACATGAGCTTACTGTGTTTGTTCTTCTTTTCCGGCAGAGGAGGTGGCTTCTCAGGGTCACCTGCTGATTCAGGGGTGGTGAAATCACCCACAAACTCCAAGGGTGCTGAGGAACCTCCTTGCTGGAAGGGCACGAGAGCGATGGGCGAGTAGGGGATGGATGGGGCCAGCGTGGAGCTCTGCAGGTCGTCCTCTGAGATGTTGTCGTACTGCGAGGGGTGCCGTTCATAGGATGCCCTGCAGCTGGAGCTGTCCGTGGTCTGCGAGGCTGCGCTCCTGCGCTTCTTCTCAGGCAGGGCGGGTGGGGTGTCCGTCTGCAGCCCTGTGGCTGTGGGGCCCTCAGGCTGGGGACAACTGCCAAGTGGCAACTGGAAAGGATGGCTGAGAAATGGAGATCCAGACTCCCCCAGGGACTCTGGCAAAGGGCTGAGGTTACAGGCCACCTGCTGAGGTATCTGGTCTGCGTTGGAGAGGTCTTGCTGCAGGAATTCGTAGTCGGGGTCATAGTGATCTGCAGCAGGGCACAGCTGCCTGTTAGCCGCAAGGCCCCAGGGACACAGCGAGGCGGCTTCTGCCCTGCCGCAGCTCTGCCCCGTGGAGACCCTGTCCCCAGCCCATCTTTCTGAGCTCTTGGCCTCATTTGCAGGTAAGGTGATGGAGGTGTGGACCATAAGGGATCTGGCCGCATCACTCGGCTAATGACTTGAGCAGCACTCAAGGCCAGCGTCTCCCAGCCCCGGGAAGCTGCTGCGCTCACCTAGTGTTTCACAGCTTGTGTTCCGGGAGCACTGCCCACTGTCCCTGTCCAGAGAGGAGAGCTGCTCATCAGACTTGCTGAGCTTGCCCATGCTGCTGCAGGGGGACAGGCGCGGTGACTCCCCACCATAGGAGTGGCTGCCACCTGACAGTCGCCTCTGTGTGTAACAGTCTACATCAAAGTCCTTGGGAGAGAAAGGAAACAAGCTCAAGGGGTTTCTGGGAGACTCCAGCAGAGCCTGGGCAGGGCCATCAGGACTCTGACTTGGAAGGAGCCGCCAAGGTCAGAGCCACCACTGCCATCAGCACTGAATGCCACGCACAGACAGAACAGCACCGGGGAGAGACTATGCGAGGGATGTCCTTGAGGGGCCGTCCTGTGGCTCTAGCCATGGGGATGTCCACCCCTCCCTGGAGAGGTGACCACCTGCAAACTCTGCCCCCACCACCCTCACCTACCCCTACCTGGGACTGGGGCTGCGTTACCTGCCGGTTAATTCCAACAGGCAAGCTAGAGCCACTGGTGGCTCGACTCATTGGGGCCACCACAGCCACACGGGTTGGGGATGGCGCCGACTGTCTTTTCTTGGGTGGCAGTGCTGGTGGACTGGAAGAGACCAAAACATCCAGGCAAACCAGACAGCACAAACAAGGGCCCTTTAAGGTACTGGACACAGGAAGGGCCCCTTCATTACCAGGCTTTCCATACCTGATTTTCATACCTTAGCTCCAACCTGCCCCTTTCCACCAAAGTAAAATTATAAATACAAAAAGAACAAACCCCAGAGCAGTCCTTTCCTGCTCCCTCAGTGGGGGTGAAAATGCAAGCTACTAAGGAGCACTCCAAGGGGATGCAAAGGCCCTGGGGGTTGAACCTCAGAGTGTCTAAGGAATGAGGATTGAGCCCCAGCTTTTCCTATTGGTACCCCCACACCGTCTCACAAGCAGAGCAGATGCTAGAGAAACAGTCACCTGTTATCCACCACCCGGATGCCAGGCAAAGGAGGTTTGGGGGGTGCAACCTCTTCATCTGCAGCATCTGGGAGCACCTCGGCCGCTGGCGACACCCCTGTCGACTTGTTTAGAATCTCCATCTCTCGGTCAGTCAGGGGGAGCTCAGGCTGGCTGGAAAGAAGAAAGGAATGCGGGGTCACAGGAGTTCCGAGAGAGTGAGGGCATGAGGGGCCTGTCCCTGATGAAAATCACATCTTGGCTGGGTCCCCCACTCTAAGCCTTGGGCTGCCCATCAGGACGGACTCTGAGCTAGTGCTCTATGCTGGGTCCTGTGGCTTTAAAATGCCTACTGCACCCTGGCCTTTCTCTCTTGATGAAGCTGATAATAAAAACCCAAAGGGCCCTTGAGTCAAGTCCCTAAAATCAGAGCCCTTGGCCATCACTCAGGAAGGGCCAACTGGCTGCAGGTGGCTCCTTCCCAGGACACTGAGGTTACAGGCCACCTGCTGAGGTATCTGGTCTGCGTTAGAGAGGTCTTGCTGCAGGAATTCGTAGTCGGGGTCATAGTGATCTGCAGCAGGGCACAGCTGCCTGTTAGCCGCAAGGCCCCAGGGACACAGCGAGGCGGCTTCTGCCCTGCCACATCTCTGCCCTGTGGAGACCCTGTCCCCAGCCCATCTTTCTGAGCTCTTGGCCTCATTTGCAGGTAAGGTGATGGAGGTGTGGACCATAAGAGATCTGGCCGCATCACTCGGCTAATGACTTGAGCAGCACTCAAGGCCAGCGTCTCCCAGCCCCGGGAAGCTGCTGCGCTCACCTAGTGCTTCACAGCTTGTGTTCCGGGAGCACTGCCCACTGTCCCTGTCCAGAGAGGAGAGGGAACAGTTCCATGGGACACGACACTCATGGGGGCGAGGAAACACCTCACATCAATGTAGGCTCCATACACTTTAAAGCAGCAGGAACTCACTCAGATTTCTGACTGAGATGGGGAGCTGGCTCCCTCTCGAGACCCGCAGCCGCCTCACGCCCCTTACTTGCCTTGCTGCAAGAGCCTGGGTATACTCACCCATCAGGTTTGCCGGCTGGGGAGCTGGGCTTCACTGGGCTCGTTGGAGATGGCCGGCCCTGCTTCTCGATGGTCAGCCTGACCAGCTCCTGTACCCAATGAGAGAGACGCAGTGACACCCCAAGCTGTCCCCAGGAGGCCGGTAGCCTGCCTGTCCTCCAGCCTGAGCCTCACATTTGTTGCTACACGTTTTCACACAGCCTACCCCAATACCCTAAGGCTATTTGTCTTAGGTAAGGTGCACAACTTCTAGGAAGTCCCCTGATCTCCAAAAGCACCTTTGCGGCAAGTCAAGAGGTTTCAAAGGCAGCACGGTACTTACTTCCTCTTGGAAGGGAAAGCGCAAGGCCCCTAGCCTGAAATGACTGAGGTCAGTGCATGCGCTGAATGCCCAGTAGAAAGAGCTCTCCAGCCGCGGGGCAGGGGCGACCTGCACTTTCAGTTCTCTAAAGCCGTCCGGATGTGCGAGACGGTGCAACCAAGGCCTAACTGGGTCTCGATGTACTTCTGTCTCCACAGCGCTGCCTCTGCATCTTCTGCTCAGCTCTAGAGGGAGGGCACCCTGCTCCTATGTGGCCGAGGAGCACACCCGGGGCAAGGCAGTCCTCACGCGCAGTGGGAAGATGATGCGCCAGGGCTGGTGTGACCCAAGGGGCTTCAGAGTTTCGGCAGGAGCCTTATTTCTGAGTTACAGAGAGGCAGCGATGGCCATGCGTGGGAAACATAGTAACAGGTCCCTGAATCAAGGACTGCAAGCTGCTGGAAACCAATGCCACCCACAAGAGCTGCACCATAGGGTCAGGCGAGGCACAGTGAACACTGTTCTCAGAGCAAAGAGTCTTTCAGAGACAGCAAAGAAATAGCAAGGGGGCTCTTTAGAGCTGGTGTGTTGGTACTGCCCATAATCCCAGTCCTCTGAGAGGCTGTAACAGGAAGAACTCAAATTTGAGCCCAGCCTGGGCAATTTAGCAAGACCTTGTCTCACAAAGTAAAAAGAAAAAAATCAAATAGGCTAGGATCAGCCCAGTGTGAAAAGGCTACGGATTCAGTACCACAAAATAAGCACAATAAAAATTCCCTCATGAATGTAAACACCATCAATAGTCACGATCTTACAAGATTTTTAGCTTTGATGGTAGTAATAAGATAGAAACTTCCAGACCCAATAAAAAACTGGGCATTGAAATATATTTCTCAAAAGAAATATAAGTGGTCAACAAGTACAAGAGAAAGTATTTAATATTCATGATCATTGGAGAGCTGCAAATCAAAACAACACTGAAATTCCATCTTTCCCCGGAAAGAACAGCTATCAAGAACTTAAAAAACAACACTGTCAAGGCTAACGGAAAAGGTTCCCTTTGGCTGGGCTTGGTGGTAGATGCCTATAATCCTAGCACTAAGGAGGCTGAGGCAGGAGGACTGCATGAATTCAAGGTCAGCCTGGGCTACATAGTTCAGTTCAAAGCCAGAGATAGCTCAGTAGTCTAAGGAGCCTGCTTGGGATCGGGGAGATGGCTCAGTAGAATAAGTGCTTGCCTGGCAAGTGCAAGGGCCTGAGTTCAATCCCCGGTTCTGCCATAAATAAATAAATAAATAAATAAATAGCGAGCCTGCTTAGGCAAGCACATAGGGACCGAGCTTCAATCCCCAGCACCACATGCCATGCCAGTCCCGCCTCCAGGGTAGGCTGAGTTGGCTGAAAAAAAAAAAAAAAAAAAAAAAAAAAGCCAGAACTTCATAGTGAGATCCTATCTCTAGGGGGAAAAATTGTTGTCCTCTCAAAAGAGTCAAAGTCACCATATCATAGAGATTCATGTATTGCACGTTTGTAGCACCATCTCACACCAGTCAAGTCTTGGAAATGGCCTATATAGCCACTAACATGAATGGCTAAAAAAATGTAATTATGCAGTGCAGAACTACTCAGCCAGAAAGGATAAATTTGAAACACTTGTAGGAAAGTGGACCTCCTTGAAACCACAATGTTAAGTAAAAGAAGGCTGACACAGAAGGGTTAATATCACATGGTTTTTCTTAGGTGAGTAACCCAAAATATAAATCATTTAAATAGTAAAATAAAACTGAACTGATAGGAAATAGGGAGGTAGACTATTGTGTGGACAGGAAGGGGATTTAGAGGGAGGGGATGGGCCAGGACAGGAAGGAGAAATAAAAATGATGAAGACACACAAAAATGTATTTATACTAAGATACATGTAATTACTACGTGTCACAAACATACACGAGCCTGTAATCCCAGCACTACGGAAGCTGAGGCAGGAGGATTGCTATGAATTTGAGGTCAGCCTGGGCTACACAGTGAGACCCTGTCTCAAAAAATAAGACAAACCAAAAGAACTCGTTCAACAATCTCAATCCCTAGAAAACAAATCAAACATACCAATAAAACCCCCAGAAACTTCCAGAAAAATTCTGTTACTGGTATCACAGCTGGAGACTCGTGGGGCATGGTGGGAGAGTTTACTTTGGGCGGCAGGCAATGCCCATGTCTCCACTCCACCTTAGCAGAACATCAGGCCTTTGGGAGCAGGACAGAAGGACAGTCACCACGAGGTGAGACCAGTCCCACAACCCAGGCCAAGCATTAACAGGTACGGAGTAGGTAATTCCTCAGGGACCCTGATGAGGTTGCCGTGTGGCCATCAAGAGCACAGTCACAGAGTCACACCAAGAATCTGGTACTCTATACAGGAAGATGCCGTAGTAACGGCGAGGGGAGACACACCCCTGGGAGGCAGGTTCCCTGGTGTGCCGTTTTGGCAACAAAGCCCAAGTGAGGCTGTCCAGGACAGGTGTAGAACACCCTCATACTTCCTGTGTATTTTCTTCAGAGCACATTCACTGCAGAGGCAGAACCTTGTAACGGAGGCAGGCCCGCCCCGCTCTGAGGCCACAGAGCTTGTTCTTGGAGGACATGATAGTGAGGTCGGAGAGCCTGGTGCTGCCAGGGCAGGGGAGCCCACACTTCTTGTCAGCAAATGCACATACTCAGGAACAGCTCGCTAGCTGGTGACACAGAAGGGACACGATGGGAGGATGAGAGTGGCAGTAGCTGAGGGGGGCAGCCTCCTGTGCCTGCCAGCTGGAGAGGGTAGATCAATAGCCCGAGGACGGTGAGGTCAGAGCCCCCTCTCAGGGCCAGAGAAGCAGAGCTGCCGAGTTGAAGAGCAACTGCAACCAGGTCTCCATCTTTTTGGAAAGGCAGCTTTGACCTTGGCTAATGAGCAATGGTGAAAAGAATCTCAGAGCTCCAGGCACAGGTCTGAGCATGCTCCCACGCTAGGATGATGGCAGGATGGCGGCAATGCGCCCATCCTGTCTGCAGGCTGAGGCTGGGGAGACTGGTAAGGGGGCAGCAGCTTCCGCTCACCACCAGCCTTCCTGTCCACTCACCAGGCCTGGGTCCCTACGTACAGGGAACGGAGCGCGCTTGCGTCCAGCACCTCCTCCCCCATGCTTGATTCCTGAGCAGGACTGCCAACCTCGAAACAGTCAGTCTCAGTGCAGGAGATCCAGGAGACGGGAAGCTGCGCGAACCTGTGTGTGCGCGGCCAGCCAGGGAAGCGCTGGCTCGCTGAGGCCCAGCACTGGAACCCTCGGGGTGTCTGGGAAGCGTCCTCTACATACTCAATACTTCATTTCCATGCTCACTCCCTCAGGGGCCCAAATGGTGCCAGGACTCTCAGACAGAAGCAGGACTTGTCCTCTTCTTGCCCTACAGCGATGACAAGGCAAGGCCTGAAGCCCAGAGCACTGTGGCACGAGCCCTTTCTCCAGTGTTTCTTCAGTGCCTAGGGCGGGGTGGCCACCACGTGTGGCGCGCAGGCAGCGTGTGAGTTCACAACGCCCCACCCAGAGCCTTACGTGGAGAGCAGCAGAGCTTCCTGTCCACACCCACGTGGCAGTAAGCAGCGGCAGCAGACGAGCAGCGTCTCCTGCTCAGACACAATCGGGAAGCAGCAGGGCGCCTGGCACTGAAGGTGCAGGGTGGTGACTCATGCCAGCGACAGGACACTGGCAGCTGAGGTGCCCTCAAGTGCCACCCACAGAAGGGGGCCAGAGATTAAGGAGAGGCCATGCCAAGCAGGAGGGGCAGTCTCCACTGCTTGTAATACAGCTGGGGTGAGGATAGAACACTTGCAGTGTCATCCTGAAAAAGGTCCTGACGAGGCCTGCAAAGGACTGCGCTCCCCGTGGGCGGGCCCATGTGTGGGGACAGTGGGCCACTGCCTGAGGCTACAGGAGCACTGCGGCGGCGGCACGGAGCTGAGCCCGCTGCCCCAGCACACGCTCAGCTCACAGCGCAGAGCACAGTGGGAAGAGGCTACCACTGTGCGGGAAGGAGGGCTCACTGCAGGCCACATTAGGAGTTTAAAAAACGAAACAATAACAAAACCCCCAGAATTCTGAATGCATGAAACAGAAATGAATATCATTTTTTACTTACAAAGGTATATCATGTACAATTCTTATAGGAAAACTTTCTGCTGTGTATGAGTTGTTTCTTTTCCTCCTCTTCCACTCTGTCTTCTTTCAAGCAGGAGAATGCTTAAAAACCCTTGGCATAGCATCAGCTAAGAACCTAACCAACCACACAGCCATGCAAGGAAGAATTTTAAATGACTACAAAATGACCACCCATTCCTACAGGATAACTGGAAGGATAAAGAATGGGGGCTTTATTATTACAACTATATAACACGAATATCTCACTAACTTTTATCATCATCATCATCGTCACATCATCACTTTGTTGCTGCTATTTGAGATGAGACCTTCCTCTGTAGTTGTGCTGGCCTGGAACTCACTGTGATCCTCCTGCCTCATCCGACTGGGTGTTGGGATTATGGGCATGCACCACAATGCCTGGCTTCTAACCAGTTTTTAATAATTGTATTGATAGTGGCTGGTGACGCTATTTCTTCTGAGACCACTGTGTCCTATAACTGATTGTGGTGGTGGTCCCACAAGTCTTTGAATATGCTAAAAATCCTTAAATTGCACCTTTTAATGGGTTAACTGTGTAGTATGGAAATTCTATCTCAATAAAACCATTATCAAATCATCTCTCTTCTCCCTGCACGCAAACACCTCTATGAGACAAGCTGAGTGTGGAGTACCTTTCCAGCCCTCAGCATGAGGAAGCGGAAGAAGACATGGGTGCTCAGGCGAGCCCTGGAAATGATGCGGGACGCTTCAGCAGCCATGGGAAGGGGTGCGCCTGAATTTCTCCTTCAGAATGAGGGCCACAAACCCACCGTGGCACGAGACACACAGAGCTTCGAAAACCAGAGCTCAAATGAAGGGGTCACCTTTACATAAAGTTGGCAGGAGAATCTTCCCGCCTGACCTCTGTGTTACCACCTCATGACCCTGGAGGGCTTGGTGGGTGTGGAAGCGCTGCCGTACCCTGTGGTTAGCAGCATCCCCATCGTAAGTAAGGACACCCCCAGTGAGGCCTGGCCCTCACTGAGGAGGCAGTGCTCTTTCCACACGAAAGGCCGGCTCACTTCAGACTCAGAGGCCATGAAGTATGCTAAGTGGCCCCACACAAATGCTTTTCTCCAGCCAAAACCAGGTGGTCAGATTTTTAGGAGCAACAATTTTTTTTTTTTTTCTTCTTTTTGAGACAGGGTCTCGCTCTGTGGTTCAGGCTGGCCTTAAATTGATAGCCATCCTCCTGCCTCAGCCTTCTGAGTGCTAGGAATATGGGCATACGGCACCACTCCCTTCCAGGAGCAATGATTCTTACAGGCCAAATCCAGACCCTTGGGGCAAGAAAAGTTAGCTCAAAAATAACAAGAAAAAAGAGTACACTGCACAGAATGCGTGAGGCCTGCAGGCTCACGCTGCTCCCTGGTCAGCCCCTTCAGAGCCGGTGTGCCGGCGTAGGGGCAGCAGGCGCCTCGCGGTCGGAAGGACAAGACCCGGCAGCGCCCAGCAGAGAGGACTGGTGGCACCGTGCTTCTTGTGTGTGCTCCTCACTCTCCTGTCCAACATTCTCCCTTCTGTAATGTTTGACATGGTCCTAGTAAAGCATTTTACTTTTTTTTTTTTTGCAGAACCGGGATTGAACTCAGGCCCTTGTGCTTGCCAGGGATTATGATTTTTTTTTTTTGCTCCGAATGCCCTCAGGGGTGGTTTGGCTGGCTGGAGTGTTGTGGGGATCGAACTACAGCAACCTGAGGCTGAAAGCTTTGCCGAAGCAGCCACTTAAAGAACTGAGCTAGGGCCAGGCCCCCCTCTAGTAAAGCATTTTAAAGCTGCCAGGAAGAAGTGCAGGAGGGCTTGCTTGGAATGCCAGTGTGCTGAGCTCACACCTGTGGCGTCCGCCTTCCTCAGGGAGCTGCTGCCAGTTCTGCAGCGAGGCTCTGGCCAATGACATGGAAGTGACAAATTTGCAAGGCCCTCTAGAAAGCCTCCTTAGAGAAAAGGCACAACTACCAATTCCCATGGTCCCTGCCAGCTGGGACAGTCATGAGGGCTAGAGGCAGAGGGGCCGCTCTGACTCACCAGGTGGGATCCACATACATCCCTCACCACTGAAAATGTCAGAGCAGCCTTTTGCTGTCTCTCTCTGTATTTCTTACACATGAAAGTGGAAAAGTTCATTTAGAGGTACCAGCATTGAACACAGGAAGTGCTGAGCTACACCTCCAGCCTAATTTTTCTTATTTTATTTTATAATAGGGTCTTAAGTTGCCCAGGCTGGCTTCAAACTTGGGGTCTTCCTGCCTCAGCCTCCCAAGTAGCTGGGATTAAGGGTATGCACTGGCACATCTGGTCCAAAGGTGTTTTTTTTTTTTTTTTTTTGCAGTACTGGGGATTAAACTCAGGACCCTGCTCTTGCCAGGCAAGCGCTTAGTCTACTGAGCTATCTCCCAAGCCCCTCAAAGTTATGTCTTTAAAAAATCACTACAATTTTGGGTTTTCTAGCGCTGACCCAATGAGAGAAAATATTCTTTGTAGGCTCTCCGGGTGTGCAGTCCACTTCTGGCATGATGGCTGAACGGCAGTTTTTGAGATGGCTCTCTGTAGGCACAGGCACGCACCTGGCTTGGGCATCCTTACAGGCCTAAGAGAGCGGAGTGGGGTGCAGAGTGATGCGTCTGAGGAAATTCCCTGGGCAGAGTCAGGAGGGAGTGAAATTGGTCAGGTGGCCCTGAGCCAGGGTCACTACCAAGGGCTGGAGAGCGAGCCAGTCCAGAACCTAACGTTTCCATGGCAAAGGTGCCCACTCATCACATACTCACTCTGTGACTACATCAGTCTGCCTCAAGCATGGAGGGCAAGTATTTCAAAACCTCCCTGGACTCAGAGAAGTGAACTGGCCAATGTCACTCAGCTAACAAGTGGCATTCATGAAGGGGTTGAAATGGCAAATGACGCTGCTCATGCACGGACAAAAGTAACCTGGTTTTGAAACATTTTTTCACACACCGCCCCCATCTCCCTAACAAGTGATGAGCCTGAAGCTGCTGCCAGAGCCGCCTCTGTGCACAGGTGCTGCTGTGCCTGACACCGAGATGCTCCTCCTACTGTGGGGCGGCACAGCAGTCCCGGGCTATGTCATGGCCAGGTCCAGAGGAATGCGGCCAGTCACAGCCTTGCCACCAACTGCTGTTCAGCTGCCCTTGGGCTCCCACCCGGCACGCTGTAATTATTAGCGGGAGTAGCATGCAGAAAGCATCCAGTAAACAGGGCTGCCATTCCTAGAGGACTCAGCGGTGAGTGCAGTGGTGTCCGACCCTCCCTGTCTTGACTGACACTGGCTAGAGAAGCTTCTGCTAAGAGCTCCGGGCGCGGCCTGTTCTCCAGGCACTGGCCTGCTTCTCCCTGGGGGAAAGGCTCTGGTCACACTGGTGTGGCCCAGCCACCTGTGCATGCTGAGCCCACACGCCACCCTCCGTTGCTGCTGCCCACTACAGCTGTGGGCTCTCGTTGGTGGCCCTTGGTCCTTTCAGGTGGCAAGGGCCTGGGCTAGCTTTGCTCACCACTGTCTCCAGTGCTGCCACACAGATGTTTTTGTTAAAGCATTTCTCAAACAAACAAATAGCTGAACTTCTACAGCTCCTCACCATGAGGAGCCTTGTTCTATCTAAAATACTTTTAAAACAATTGTGGAAAAGTTACTTGCTCTCAGACACTGGTAAGTAAGCTCAAATTCTGTTAACACGCTCTCTCTTTTTACCCAGGTCACTGTGAAAACAGAGAGACGTTTTTCTTTCAGCTGTCCTTCACCTGACACCACAGTGCTATAAATTCCACAAAGAATCTACCTAGAAATTTTACAAAGCTTGTGTAGACTCAGTCTCCCTCTTTCATCTGTCTGAGTTTGTTTTGAACATCTCATCAGAATCAGTTTGGGAGAAGGAGATCTAAACAATGTACCTGTAAAAAACCTTGAAAACAACATTTCCAGAAGACCAGCCAGGAACAGCAAGGGCTCCGCTGAGGAAGTATGACTTGGGACACAATGCACCCTGCCCTGGGAGAGCAAGAAGCCTCCGTGAGGACCTAATGGGGTGATGGAAGTGACCGTGCTCCAGATTCCAGAGGGCACTGTCAGGTCCCTTGGGCCACACCCTTTGGACTCACTGCTCAGAGAGTAGACAACCCTGTCACTTACTGGGAGCAAGTCACAGCAGCCTCCCCTTATGGGGTCCCTTTAGAAGCTCTGGGTCATGCCAAGCAATGCCTTTCCAGCCCTGCCTCTGAGGCTTAAGCCCTTCAAGGTCCTTGTTCTGTTTCCCAGGGCTCCTGAGGACTGTGGCACCAAGGGAACCCCATCGCCTAGATGAGTGGGCAGGAAGCTCTCCTGACCTAGACTAATAACCTTAGCTATAATTTCAGGTTGCTGAGTGAAGAGGAGATAGTCCCACCTGGGCTGAACTCATACAGCACACGGCACGCACCGCTATCAAGAATGACAGAGATCAATCCTAGTTTGTGGACTTGGCTCAGATCTTCCGGCCACACCGTGGGGGCTGCACTTTACTATACCTGGGCATGGTGAGTCCAGCAAGGCACTGGGCAGCTAGGGGAACTGTGAAGGGCCACAGGCTGAGGGGGGGCTGGTGGCCAGGCCCCATGCCAGCCCCTCTGCTGTGCACCGCGCCCCTGCCCCTGCCCACAGTGCTGCCCTCCATTCTCTCCCTCCTCAGCCAGAAACTCATTTCTTAATGAGGGTCTGCCCTCTAGTCCTCGGCTTCTCCCCTGCTGTGGGTCTCAGTCTTCGCTATGGGCTGGGCCCTGAGCAGTAACTAGTTCTACAGCAGGCTATCTCACACAGATACAGCCCAATTCTTCCTCTCCTACCCAGCACCCTGTAAGTCTCTAGAGATGGACAGAAGCAGCTGATCCACGGGGAATTCTGCTAACTACTGATGCAAAAACAGCCCCCAAGCTAGGCCTGGTGGCATGCACCCGTCATCCCAGCACTGAATGCTCCAGGGCTGGGGGACGGCATCGCAGTGGGACAGAGCATGCCCATTTCAGTGGTCTGGCAGCACCTGTAGACCCTGCACCCATACCTTCACTCCATCCAGCACAGCCTTGATGACGCCCTTCACAGTCGTTACCATCTCCTTGTCCTCTGAGTTCACACCTTCCAGCATTACCTGGTCTGACCACCGGATGAGGTTGGCGAGACTCTGGTATACTCGGCTGTAGCAGGACGACAGGGCTGAGCTAGAGCCAAGAGAAAAGAGAACGTTAAAAATGAATCTAAAGGGGCTGAGGAGATGGCTCAGTAGAATAAGTGCTTGCCTGGTAAGCACAGGGGTCTGAGTTCAATTTCTGGTTCTGCCAAAAAAAAAAAAAAAGAATCTAAAGCACGATATCACTTCAAGATAACATGGGGCCTGGTGAGATGGCTTAGAACAAGCTTAGCAAAGCACAGGGACCGCGGTTCAATCCCCGAGCACCACATGCCAGTCAGCCCCGCCCCCTGGTGGGCTGAGCTGGCCACACACACACAAATAAAATTAAAAAAAAAAAAGATAACATGGGCACAGAACCAGTTTTTTGGGGGCCAATGTGCATTTATCAATATATATTTTTCTTTTCTTTTCTTTTTGAGACAGGTCTTCCTGTGTAGCCCAGGCTGGCCTTGAACTCTCAGCCTTCTGAGTGTTGGGATTACAGGCATGCAGTACCACACCCAGCCAATATTTCCTTCAAGAAGATCCATGCTTCCCTTTTGGGGTAGTGTAGGGAATTGAAACCAGGTGCGCCCCGCCACTGAGCTACACCTCCAGCTTTTTTTATTTTGAGACAAAGTTTCCTAAATTGCCCAAGCTGGGCTCAAACCTATGACCTTCCTGCTTCAGCCTCCTCTGCCAGGATTGCAGGTGTGCACCATCATGCCCTGTTCCACACTTCCTTTCAATAAACAACCTTTTAAAATTTTTATCTCCCCAAAATGTAGAAATTCTATCACAAGCTCTTCCAGCCCCACATCCCTGCCCAAGACTCTGAGGCCATGTCTGGGCAGCGCCGGCTCCCCTGCTCCAGCTGAGTACCACTGACTGGGTCAAAACCCATGCACTTCTTGGCACAAATCAGACTAAAGCTACTTAGGAGGGTCGTAAGGAACCGGCCAGTTTGTCTGTTGTTTCTTTAATGGTGCTGGGACTCAAACCTAGGGCCCTGCCTGCACAGTCTCGGTCCCTGCACTGTCTCCTGGCTAAGAAATTGTAATGGGCACAGCCACACTTGAGACAGAGAGAGCTGTGTCTATTAGACACTCTTCCACGCCCACCCAGCTTGGAGTCGCTGGCAAGGAACATGCTCATGAAGGGAGTTCTGAATGGGGCGAGGTGGCTGGACGAGGTGGTGGGGGTGGGTGAGGGCTGAGGGCATGTGCATATACACCAGCGAGATGTGCCTGCTCCAGCTACATCGTGAGGCCAGGACACAAAACACAAGCCTGAGTACCTTGGGATGCTTCAGAGATGGGAAAGAGCAGCCAAAGCACATAATTTTTACATCTTCCACCTATTTTTAAATAACTAAGGACAACTTTCCTCTGGAAAGGGTTACCTTTCTATTCTAAACCACCCGGGCCAGGTGCACCCAGCCAAACACTCACACATCCAAGTTCAGCAGAACTGCAGGGGAGGAGCCCAATGGCCAGTTTCATGGAAAGAAAGAGAGATACTGCTTTATCACCGAGAAGCAAACCAGGCTTTGCTGCTGAGTTCTGAGAGCCGTTCATCAAAGCTCAGCCCCATAGGGCTGACTGAGCACTAAGGCATCTTGAGAACTGAACAGCTCCCCGAAATGCTCCTGCCAGGCTCGTACTTGAGATTTAGCTCATGCTACTGAACTCTGTAGACTGAACAAGCAGCATGGAGCAAGCAGCTCACTAACCTCACAGGAGAAAACTCACTTTAGCAGGAAAGACTCAAACCATAGCTTCCCTGGGCGAAATCTCCACCTGCCTGGGGATCCCTGCCAGCATGTCACCATTCGTGCTCTAATGGAGTCCCTGGGCTCTTCTGGCTGACCACCAACGCAGCTGAGGACTCTCTTGGCAGGACCCGATGGCCTGCCACAGGGCGCCTAAGTGATGTCTGGTGACTGGCAGGAGGTGCTGGGAGAAAGGTGCCCGATCAACTGGACAGCTGCCAATGAGCAGCAAAGTGGTGGCTACATTTCACGGCAGTGGAGACCTGCCTTGGGCACCCTGCGGACAGCTGGGTAGACTCAGGGGATATGAAAAGTCCCCTTTCCCAGTGTGCCCCAAACCCAAGAGCTTGCGAGCCTCCTGGGGCAGCAGGCCAGGACTCACCTCTGCTGGACCCGCGGGTCGGTCTGCACCAGGGGCAGGATGGCCTCCAGCACCTTGCTGGCTGACCCCGGGAGCATCTCCAAGACCTTCTTATCGATGGCCATTTTGTCCACAATGGTCTTAAAGTAGCGCAAGGCACTGACCACTTCCTTTTCTTTCTCTTCTAGCCAGCTTAGGTTCTGAAAGGAAATGTTAAGCATAAGGAGGGAGGGGAAGATTAAAGGGAGCTGTTTTGAAAAAATAAAATTTCCTGTAATCTGGCTTGAGAGCACTGGGAATTGAACAGGCTGCAGAAACCAAGCTAGTGGCTTTGTGATGGCTGGGACCAGCAGGCCGAAGCCAGGCCTGAAGAAAGTAGGGGTGATGCTCAGCCCCTTCTGGCACCTGGGTCCCTGACAGTCTCTCCTCCCTGAGCTCGCCAGCCATGCCCAGACAGCAGCACCGGGCCCATCCGGTGGGTGAGGTCTGGTCTGTGGCCAGTGGGGGAGGCAGGGGTCACGCCTGGTGCACACAGTGAGGCAGGTCTAGAATCACCCCATGGCCCTCCATGGAACCACACTATTGCTATTCTCCAGGGCCCCAGAGCTCAAGGCTGGGAGGCCCCACTCGCTCCTGGCTTTGCTTTCCCAGCACAGCCCCTCTCCCCACTCTTTCCACCCTGACTGCAGGACAGGACCCTTTGTTCCTCTTCCCCAGCCTCCCTCTCGAGTGGCCCCAGCTAGTGGTCAGGGGTGGGCAATCGAGGAGGACCGACTGAGTACAGAAGACCACAGGGCACGATTTCCTTCAGTTTAATGGGTGACGGGCCAGCGCAGAGGAAGAGGGTGTGTATGGGGAAGCAGCCACCCGGGCTCTGCGGGGCCCAGGAGTGTAAAGAGACGCAAGCAAGGCCAAAGGAGTGAGAAGGTACCTTCCAGGAAAAGGTAATTGAAACAGTAGCATTTAAGTGCATAAACATGACATAAATATGAAAGGTGGTTATGATTTTCTTTTGTTTGTATTTTTGAGACAAAGTCTTGCTTTGTATTCAGGCTGGCCTTGAACTCACTATGTAGCCCAGGCTGGCGTCAAACTTGGAGCAATACTCCTGCCTCAGTCTTCCCAAATGTTGAGTATAGCATGTGTCAACAAGCCTGGCTCAAAAGTGGTTAGGATTGTGAATGCTAACCTTCCTTTTAAAATGATAGCGGATACTGCTTTAAATAAGAAATTCCATATTTCATAGGAACATCAATAGAAAAACTACAAATGAACAGGATCAACAGCTTCCCCTGCCTCCCTCCAAGTGGCCTTCAAGGTACACGAGAGCAGCTTCCCTGGCAGACAACCTCCCAAGTTCCTCATGGCTCTTCTGTGGACTCCCCCCACCCCCGAGGCGTCCTGAAGGCCCCAGAAACAGCCCAGGGAGAGCGCGCCCCTCCTGCTGTCGCGGGTCCTCTGCCCTGGCCCTGCCTCTTCTCACTACCTGATGCGTTCACTCCCTACCTTCTCTGAGGGGCCAGGCACTGCTTCCCCACCTACTGGGCAGGAGCGCGGCTGGGCAAGAAGGCCAAGGAGGCAGGCCATGTGATGCCCACAGAGCTAACCAGAGCCACAGTTGGTCTGGAGGAAGAAAAGACAGATGCTGCCATCCTGGGACACCAGGAGTGCCAGAAGCCTGCAAGAATAACACTCAGCACAGGAACAGGAACCATTCTGAGATGTGTCTCTGCATATGTTGACCCAGGGGTGGGGGGGTAGGAGGCAGGGGAGCACTCGAAAGCCAAGGGACTTCAGCGGGAATAGACTGGCAACAGACTCTTCCTGTCCTTACAGAGAACAAGGCAGACAGGTGAGAGCTGGGCCGACCAATGACTTAGCTAAGTCATGCAGCAGCCAGTCCACTCCCAAATACAGTCTCGGGGGCTGCACCTTCCCTCAGCAGCTAAGCTGCAGCCCAGGTCCAAAGGGCTCTCAGGACAATACCCATACCCAGAACTCACTCACTGTGGCTGTACTAAGGGTGCTCGGATACAGAGCTCACAGCAGCCCTGGTGTCCACCAGCACACCCTCTGGCCCCTGTTACCCACAGTCCTCATCGTTTTGTCAAGTCCAGGAGGCCACCAGTCCTGGGAGGACGGGCCATGCTGGGCTCCCTCCCTGCCTGTGTCACTACCAGGTCAGCACAGAGTGGAAGGGATGTGAGTAAAGATGGCTCCTACCATTTAACAAAGCTGCAGCGAGCCAGAGCCTATGCATCTGCTGGCAGGAGAGAATGGAAGCTCTGCGAGGGAGAAGCGAGGCCAGCGCACAGCTGCTGCTTGCTGGGAATCCCAAGGGGCCCGCTGAGCTTGTGTTTTGTGGGTGCCCTCTGGTCTGGGGCCACAGCACACCATGGGGCAGCCTCGATCACTTCACAGGTTGTGCTGGGTCTGGAACCTGAATTTGGTCTATTTGATGCTAGAGGTTGGGGAGTTGAGGGGAAAGGACACTCAAGATGTCCTGGAAGAAGCAAAGAAATACACTAGTAAGCCCCAGTCCCCAGCGCTATGTCACAAATGAGTAGGAGGCCCACATGGGAAAATCAGGGACACTTTCCTGACAAGTGTCAGTGTCACCTTGACATGGCTGTGGTTTACAGTCAGGGCAAAAGATCTGGCTGTCCCCAGCCACTTGTCCACTCGCATCGCAGGTGGCTGTGCAGACCGCACGGATGTACAGTGCCACTCAGGACCCTGCCAGGACAGCGCACCACACGGCTGGAGGTGGGGGGCTCGCAGAGGGCCGAGCCTGGCCAGGCAAGGGGCCCAGCCCAGGCTCCCCCCTGATGTGCTCCACAGACGGCAGAGCCTCCGCAGGCCTCTGCGCCACCTCTGGATGGCCCCAACTCCATCCTGCGCGGCCGTTAGCTCTGACGCTGTCTGTGGCTAAAAGTCCCTCTAACACTGCAGCTCGCAGGGGGCTCGTTCATAGCACCGAAAAGTTCACACAGTGCCTCTGCATGGATACAAAGGCCACACAATGCGACGGGAGAGCAAGACCAGCCCGGGCTACAAATGAGCTCAGCTGCACAGCGAGGCCCTGTCTCAGGGCCGGAGAGACGCCTCAGTAGAGTAAGCGCTTGCCTGGCAAGCGCAGGGTCCAGAGTGCAATCGTTTCAAATAGATTAAAAAACAAAAAATTAAGAACTCCGGCTGGGTGTGGCAGCACATACCTACAACCCTAGCACTCGGGAAGCTGAGGCAGGAGGACTGTCTGAACTACAAAGTGAGATCCTGTCTCAATCTTCCCCCTCCCTAAAAGAACTCTGTTTCAGTAACAGGGTAGTTAGTGTTCATCAGCTGCATAACACTGATGGCTGGACAACAGCCCCGGGGTAAATGATCACCAGAGGATGAAGGGTCTATTTCTCAATAAAGCTTATTTTATTTTGCTTGTTAAATTTATTTGCATGTATAGTAGTACATCGGGATTAATGCTTACAACTGTGAGGTGCTGAAAGTAAACTCTGGCTTTCTTTATTGAAGGAAGGGACCACAGCGAGAATTCAGGCTCTGACACAGCAGCCTGCATTCAGATCTAACCACTGCCTTTTTGCTGTGTACGCTGGCTCAGTGCCTCACTAAAGACGCAGCTTCCTTTCTAGTAAAGCGGCCTCTCCCTGCCAGGGAGTGAGAGCCAGTGCAACGCGCCTGACGCAGGCTGGGCGAGGCCCCGCCAGCGTGGGCGACCCCAGTGCCCTGGCTCTGAGGGCTCCCAGTCTTGCAGGCAGACGGTGAGTGCACCTCTCGGTGCGCAACATGCTCCTCTCCTGAGCCACTGCCATTGCCTCGGCTGTGCCCAGCGGGAGACTCGCCCCCCTCCCCGACCCTGCTGGGTCCAACAGCACACCCAGCCCAGACCCAGCCAGGGACCCTAAGCCTTCATCGGGCTCTGGTGCTCTCTGCAGACAGGGAGGTTTGGACCCACTCTGCTTCTGTCCACAGCCCCACGGGACTCTCCTGAACACTTCAGCCCCCAGCTGCCCCCCAGCCAGACACAGAGACTGCGAAAGGTGCTCTTCCAGCCCAAGCCACAGGCCAGGGTTCTGCGTAGAAGGCAAGGCAAACCCCAGCGTTCTTAAGTCACACTGACCTTCTGCCTCTGAGACCTGGAAGCCACAGCACTGGTGGACATAAATTCTACTGCCTGCTGCTCCAGATCCAAGGGGATAGGGTAGCCCTCTGGTAGAAATCTGTCTCTTGCCTCCTGGAAGAGAGGAAACCTGGATTCCTACAGAGCTTGAAATGGCCGTTGTAGGTTGCAGGGAGGGTCAACGACAACCAATAGCTGTTTCGACACATCTGGCTTGGCCGGCCCTGCTGGCGTCACTCGTCCTAGAGGGCCTCTTTGGCTGGGCTTGGAGGGTTCTCCCATTAAGGGCACAGGCCTCTGGAGCTGAACAACGGGCGTTCTGGATATCACAAACCTCCCTGTGTGTGAGTACGCCCCAGGGGAGGAGGGCCGTAGGGTGCAGGCGGCACCCAGGGTGTGACCACGGCCCACGGCTCACCGAGGGAGACAGCAGGGCAGGAGAGACCTCCTAGCCCCTGGCTGGACTCTGGTGCAGGCACTCACCATCCTAAGGGCCCTATTTCAGGATACAGAAGGCCCCGAGGGCTGCACTCAAACACCCAAGCTCACACTACCAGGTGTGGCCGGGGAGGGAACACCCAGAGGCAGCTTACTTTGTTGGCAGGCTTCTCCGGGATCTTCACGGACACCTCAGTTGGCTTGCCCTTCTTCGATGGCGTCCTCTTGATTTTGGGAGAGTGGAATTTGTCCATCAGCTTCATGGTGAAGGAGGAGAGGTGAGAGCGCTGAGAGTCTGAAAACAGAGGGCACCGCTGTGAGAGGGCAGCCACGAAGCTGTGACCCCTGAGCTCCCAAGGGCATGGAGAGGCCCCGCCCCATCTCCAGACAGCCGGGCACTCGGGGGAGAGAGAACAGACCCAGGAACACATCCTGCCTTCCGGACTCCAGCTTCTGCAATTTCTAGCAGGGCAGGTTGCTCAGAATTGTGCACTTAGAAAGTGGCCAAGACGGGCAGGGAAAAAGCACTTGTGAACACATCTAAGTGTCCTTCACGAGCCCACAGGATGGCCCAGCCAGGGTCCAGGGGGCCTCACTGCAAGGAAAGCGTCCAGGCAGATCACAGCAAAGGGCATAAGAACTAGTGCTCCTAAGCTGACTGCCTCATTCTTTGGGGCAAGAAACTGCACCAAAAAACCAGGCAGGGGGAAAGGAAAGAAGGGACAAGAAAAATGAAAAAAGAGAATTAAAGGGAAAAAACGGAGGCAAAGCTTTTGTAAATAAGGAGAAGATGGGCCAGGGAGGTAGCTCAGTGGCATAAGCACCTGCCTGGCAAGCAAAGTCCTGAGTTCGAAAAGAGGGGTTGAAGGGAGAGGAAGGGAGTAGGGACAAGAGCAGCAAGCTGTATTGTGTAGAGGTCCAAATGCCCTATGATGCATATAATCACTGTGTATAGCTAAAGCGTACTTTCCCCCAGAAGAAAATGAGTAAATAAATTTTGACAAGCCAGCTCTAGAGCCGGCAATGGGGACTGAACTGGAAGCAGCACCCCACTGCCATGGGCAGGGGCAGAAGACTGGAAGGTCTCCCCGCAGGTCCCAAGGAGACCGGAAGTCCGCTCTCGTCACTCTGGCCTGACACCGCACTCTGTGGGGTGAGAGACAGAACAGAAGGCACCCTGATGGGAGGGGTGTTAGGAAGCTTCCTCTGCTTGCACACAGCGTGATCTTCCATGCGGTGCACCTCAAGCAATCTGCACAGCTGTTAATACCGGGGGGAGGATGGCGCTCAGGGCCGCAGTGCCTGCCTACCATACAGGTGGCCCTGGTTCAGTCCCCAGCACCGCAAAACTAAACAACCTACAAATGTTTACAAGTACTATAAGTACTAAAAGTTAGTAAGGTCCCAAGATGTGAATCAATACATAAACAGCAAACATATTTCTATACAGTAAAAGTGAACATTCTGAAATGGAATTCAGAGAGTTTCGTTTGTAATATCACCCAAAAAGAGACATTTAGGCACAAATTTAACAAAAAATGTCAGGGGCTGGGATATAGCTCAGCAGCACAGCACCTGCTTGGCAAGCATGACTTCAATTCCCAGGACAAAAAAAGAGCAATATTTACACACCGAAAACTACAAAATATTGCTGAAAAAAAAAAAATAGAGACGAGTTAAGGAAATGGAAAGGCATGTCCACGGCGCAAAAGGCTGACACTATGCTTCCCGTGCTCAGTGAGGACAGCTCGCAGTCTCTGAGAACTCCAGCCGGCGCTACCCTGATGCTAAGTTCAGTGGAAAGAAGGCAATTCGAGAGCATCCCGAGCAGGCTGGGAGAAGCGGCTGGACGACTTGCACCGCCATTCAAAAGTGAACCACCAGAAAGCCACACTACTTGAGGCTCTCTCTGGTGCTGGCACAGAGACAGACGCACGGCTCAGTGGCACCGAACTCAAGGAGCAGAAATAAACCCACATGTCTGGCAACTGGCTTTGAAAAAAAGGCCAGGAATACTCAGCAAGGAAAAGAAGAGCAGGCGCAAGAAACGGTGCTGGGAAAGCCAGACAGCCATGAGCAAGGGTGGATGTGGACCCTATTTTGTATCACATACAAAATGAACTTACAATGAATCAAAGACCTAAACGTAAGAGTTAAAGCCAAAACACTGGAGTGCTTGTGGCCTGGGATCCGGCCATGGCTTCTAAGAGGGGACTTGGGCAGACCGAGCAGCAAAAGTAGACACACATACAGTGAGTTTCATCAAAGTCAACAATGTTTGTGCTGCAAATGACAGCAACAGGCGGTGGAGAGACAACCTGCCAGGTGGGAGAGTATCTGTAAATCATGTGTCAGACAAGGGACTTCTAGACAGGAATTAGGAGAACTTGGCTGAAGATGTAGTTCTGTGGTAGGACATTTGCCTAGCACACATGACACCCTCCCTGGGTTCAATCCCAAGTACTGAAAAAAACAAAATAAAACAAAAAAACCAGGACAAAATAAAAAATATTTACAACTCAACAATAGATAAGTGGCCCACTTTAAAGTGAATAGAAACCACAGATACTTCTTCAGAGAAGATGCACAAACTGGCAGTGAGCAGAGGGAAAAGACGGCCACCTTCACTCTGAAGGGAAATGTGGATCAAAGTGTAATATGTCACAGGTAAGCGAGAGAGACAGGGAAGCCAAGTGTTGCTGAGGATTGGAGGAACTGCAGGCCTCCCCCACTGTCAGTGGGGGTGTAAAACGGTGCCGCTGAGCTGGGAAGTATCTGGCAGTTCCTCATACGATTTCCAAACAAGGCCCAGCAATTCATCCCCAGGTATACATTGCAGAGAAATGAAAATCTAGCTCCAAGAGACCTGTACCAAAAAGTTCACAGCATCATTTTTTTTTGCGGAACCGGAGATTGAACTCAGGCCCTCGTGCTTGCCAGGCAAGCACTTATTCTACTGAGCTATCTCCCCGGCCCCAGCATCATTTTTTTCTTATGTCCAAATGTTCACAAATGAATAAAATGTGGTGTATCTATGCAATGGAATAATATTTGGCCATGAAAAAGAGACTATACACCGACACATACAACAACATGAATGAATCTGGAAAATACTATGCGAGGTGTGGTAGCCAGTCATGAAAGACCACCTGTTGTATAACTCAATTATTTTTTATTTTAACTCCCCCAAGGATTGTAAATGTGCTGTTTGTGTCTGTTTCCGCAGTACAAACATGGTACCTGGTCTATAGATACTCAGTAAACACTCAAGAAAATGAACAAATCAACAAAGTGAACCCCCCCCCCCCGGGGTTTTTTTTTTTTTTTTTTTTTGCCACTTTTAGCAACAGCAGCAGTTCACAGAACATACTTAATGTTGGCTCAAAATCAAAGAACAAAACACTATCCTGTAAAACAGAAGGTTTTTTTGTATTTAGTACAGGGTCTACAGGGTCTCACTACACAGATCGGACTCACAGTGATCCTCCTGTGTCCAGCCTCCCGAGTGCTGAGACTGCAGGCATGAACCCTAGGGCGGGCCCACCATGGCATGCCCCCTGCCCCGTCACTGAGCCTGCCTAAGCAGGTGCTTTAGTCTGCTGAGCTATCTGGTCGGCCCTGGAGTTTTAAAAATAAAATAGCACTCCAAAATTTCTAGCAATTTATTACTTAAAAACAAACAACTATGAATAAGTGTCGTATGACCCCCCACTAACAAAAAGTAAAGGACACAGCACCTCATACTGCAGGACTGGGCCTGCCTGCCACTGCTGTGTGCGCCGTACACGGCAGAGTCCACTCCCTGGGCCAGGGCTTGGCAGCTGCCAGGCAGAGCCCACAGCTGAGCCTGCCCTCTGCAGCGATCAGGGGCGCAAAGCTCTCCGGACCGACGGGAGATGGCCGGACTGACACCACTTCACAGCTGGGTGCTGGCAGGTGCCATAAGAGCTGCTTCACCCACCGGGGGCGGCTTGGGGGTGGTGGCTGCAGCATCCCTGGGACTCTGAGGTGGCGTTAGTACACCTCTACCCCACCCCAACAGGTGGGCCTCACTTACCGTCCAGGCTTTCTTCTTTCTGCTTTAACATTACCTGGACTTCTAGTTCCACGGAGGCTAAAGGGAACCCTGGGGGCAGCCCGCATAGAGGGTGCCCTTCTAACTCTCAGTGCTTTGTCTTGAAGACAGGGCTGAAGATGTGTATCATCCTGGAAATGGCCTTGGAGTACAGGGGACACTGCTGGGGTCACATGTGCCACAGCTGCCCTTGGGATTTGTATTCCCTGTGCTAGTGCTATGGGGCATGATGCTCACTTAGCCCCAGCTCCCCTCCAGCCATACCTGCAGAGGGACACAACTCAAACGCAACAGCAACTGTGTGGCCAGCATTTCTGGGACATCTGTAAGATGATGTCATCTATTCAACACTTTCTCATAAAGTCGGCTCAGCACAGTGCATGCACTGCTGACCTGTCCTTACTCCACAATGGGCGCGTCAGATGTGAACACCGCACCCCACCCAAGCTCAAGCCAAGGGGAATCTGGGCTTGCCCAGGTGCCTGGTCCACAGTACCTCCTAGCACAGGGAGCTCAGCCCGCTAGTCCTGTGGACGGGTAGCAAGGTGGCCCACACACTGAACTCTTAGTGCCTCTCCAACCGCTCACCGAAGAAACACTCTTCCTGTACTGCCCGGGCTTGGGCAGCTTCACCAGCCATGCCCCTGCTAGACCTCAAATCTTTTCACCCTGGAAAGGTGTAGGAAATTATGCTGCAGAGCTCATAACTGTCTTTTGAAGGATTTTCCAAGAGTGAAATTACTACAAAATTTTGAAACTTCATGCATACGCATGAGTCACAGAGGAGGAGTCAGATCCATACACCTACCACCAGGACTGTCAGAGAGAACTCTACGCGGATGGCAGGCTCTGCATCCTCACTACAACTGCAAGACAGCCCCGCAGAGTGTCTCTGGGGCTGCAGGAGCACAGCCCCGCGCTCCGAGGAGCCTCACACTCTTCCCTGCCTGCTCTGCAGCAGCCCGCCCTCTCACAGGCTGACGGACCTATGTTTTCACTTTTGGGGCTCCTAAACTTCCTCCACATCTCCTAGGGACACAGGCCCATGTTCTGAGTGGGGCTGCTGGGCTGTGCACTGGGTGTTACCTTCCAGACACCATTGTGGGACTCCATGTCACGGCCCTGCCTGCAAAGACGGCAGACCTGCCTGCGCCTAGGGCAGTGACAAGCGCCACTCCCCAAGCTCTCCTCCCTGGTGGGACAGACCCCTCCACTGGCGA